GGTGTGGTACCCACAGGCACCAGGAGCAGAGCCCGCAGGCCTTGGGTCTGTCTGGCTGAGTCTTTGGTCCTACCGTCCCCTAACTCCTGGATGGGCTGGCTGCCTGGAGACCAGAGGACGCCCCAGTGCCCTCTGGCCAGCCCTACCTGGCTGGCTCGGCAGGGGCCTGGTGGTTGAAGCCACAGCCTTCCGAGCCCTGGGGTGGCAGCAGGCACTCGTCAACTGCTGCTTGGAGACCACTGCCTCTGTCTCTGCCCAGACGTCTTCCCGATGTGACCGCAGCAGCTCTGCAGGTTGGCTTTGGCTGGGCTCTGGGCCAGCGGGCTCCGGTTGGCAGGGCTGTTGGGAAAACAAAGCCCAGTGAGGGCGTGGGAGTCCCAGCTTCCCGGAAGGGAAGGGGAACGATCGGGCAGGACCCGGGCCAGGCCAGGCCCATGTTGGGCTTGGCCTCCTCCCCTGCAGCCTCCTGCCTGGCCCTGAACTCGGGTGCTCTCAGCTGTCCGCTGGTGACTGCCGTGGTGAGCCCAAGCTCCCCGCCGAAGGAGCCTCCATTCCTCGGCCGCCCGCAGTGCCTGTGGGTGGGGGCAGAGTTTGCAGCCCCTCCACTGAGACAAGGTGCAGTGGGCACCGCGCCACCAGCCTGATAGTGAGATTGGGGCCCTCTGCCCACCTTCCTGACCCAGGGCAGGGCAAGACCAGGCAGGCGGGCTCTCCCCTCACCCCTCTGTCCCTTTGGACCCCTAGGGGCATCAGCAGGTGTCAAAGGGCCTTGTGAAGGTCGCGCAGCCCTGGGGGTGGGCAAGAGGGGAGGCGCCCACAGGGCCTGGAAGGGGAGTCCCTGCTCCTGCTGCGGCAGGTCAGTCCCTAGGCAGGGACGGAAGCCCTCAGCAGAGCTGGAGATGTGACCTGGGCCTAGAGGGAAGTCACCCGCCATGCTTCCATGTGCCAGGTTGAGGCCCGAGGCTCCTGCCCAGCCTCCTGGCCCTGTTCACACGCCCTCCAGAGAGCAGGAGAGGAGCCCAGCAACACCTTCAGCAGGCACCTTTGGCCGCGGCGACCACGAGCAATGGACAGATCTGAGAGGCCGGTCCAGCAAGGCCAGTGACGGCAGCTGCTGCAGCCATCCTCTCCCCAGGGCAGCGGCAGTTTTCTTGCTGCCCTGGGAAGGGTGTGGGAGGGGGTCGGGGGCCGCTGAGGGCACAGGTGCCTGGCCAGACCCAGACCTGTGGAACTGTGAAGCCATCTGTCACGGACGCGGCCCAAGAACTCTCACAGCTCGGTTCACTCTGCTTTTCCAGTTTCATTCTCAAGCCTGCCCCTTCCAGGCAGCCCTCCTGGCCTGCTCCCTTGACCCAGAGTTCTTGGGCACTGATCCAGAACCTTTTGTTTCCCGGGCACTTGGGTATGTGGTGCCCTAGCTGGGGTGATAGCTCTTGTGATAAGGATCCTTCATTAAATTCTAGAACTCCCTTTTCTTGCCCTCAACCAATGATCATGAAAATAGTAGCAATTGCCTTTTAAAAATATCATTTAAAAATAGTGTTTTCTGGGCTTTGTATGAAACGGTCTCATGGAATCTCAACAATGCCCACGTGAGGTGGGCACCATGACAGAAGGGGAAGCCAAGGCTGGAGGCACGTGGGAGCTCGCCTGGGCTGGAGGGGAAGGGGAGCCAGCCTGTGTGGCGACAGGCTGCTCCTGGATGTCACTCACCCGCTGCCTCCGGCCACTGCTCTCTGCATGTGACGTTTCCTAACACTTCTCCAAACCTGTCAGCCTCGGTTGGTCCCCATGGGCCCGAGGGCCTACTGGGCAGGGCTGCGTTCCCCAACAAAGGTGAGGTGGGAAAGGGCTGAGGCCACCAGCCTCCTGGGTGGCACTCCACTCTGCTGCCCCAAACAGCCAACGGCCAGAGAGACGGGCACCTGGGGCCCGCAGCCGCAGGACCTCAGCCGCCTCCTGCTCCTGTCTTCCTCCCGCCCCCAGGTCCTCCCCAGCCAAGTCCCTGCAGCCCAGCGTGACCAGGGTGACTTCCCCTCGGGCCCCCGGCACGGCTGCCCCCAACGGTCCCAGCCGCAGAGCCGGACGGGGATGAGGTCGATGGGGAGCTGTGAAGCCTTTTAAAAGGCGCAATAAAGGTTTTGGGTTTCAGATCTCTTCCTGGAGAGGAGAGGAACAGACAGGAAACTTCAGTAGCAGACGCGACAAAGGCCGCGGCGAGCAGACTGCCTCAGACGGAACACCTCTGGTGTGCTCACAGAGAGCGTCTGGCAGGGGCCCAGCACCCCGTGCCCTGCCAGCCGCCACCAGCTGGGGGTGCAGCCGCTACAATGGCCTGTTGTGTCTAGGTGCTCGGAACCGCCTTCCTGCTGCCTTTCTCTGAGCCTGGCTCTGAGGGCGTGCGCCAGGAAGGCCGTGAGTGTGCCCGGCAATGGGCACACTTGTGGTGGGGCCAGGGCCAGGGCCAGGCCAGGGCCAAGGTGCGGCTGACCCCGGGCACTGCTCCTTGGAAGCCATGCCCAGGCCGGGGGGCTGGCTGGGTCTGTGCCCACTCATCTCCTCATGTAGAGATGAGCCAGCGGGCTGGGAGGACATAGCCTCGGCCACCCTGTCCTGGCAGCTGGGCGGCAGCCAGGGCCAGGTGTCGCAGCCCCTCTGCTCTGTCCCTTGGATTAATCAGGGACTTCTCAAACCCATGTGTCCCCGGGGTGGGGGTGGGGGGACAGGGTTACTGATGGGATCACTGCTGGCGGTTCCAGGCAAGTGTCCCCGCTGTTGCTGTCGGATCGTCTCAGGTGCGTGAGGCCGAGACGCAGTCAGGAAGCCTGAACTTCACTGCCGCCCGCGCACACGGGAGGCTCCGTAAGCTCATCGGGTTAGAGCCACCCACCTCTGAAGAGGCGGTTCCTCCCTGGCCCCGCCACACTCGAAATGCTCTGTTGCTGAGGGGGCGCCCGGGGCTGCCATGGGGCGGCGCTGGGCAAGTTCACCAAGACGCTGCTGCTCAGGAGCCTCCGGGGCACCTGAGCACACACCAGAGGGGCCGGCGGGAGAGGGAGTCCTGTGGACAGCCAGACGGGGATGTAAGTCACGGACAATTAGGAGGCATGCTGCAGCCTCAGCCTCCCCACGGGTCACAGTTCTCAGCTCCCAGGGAGAGGAACCCTGGGCTGGCAGGGCCAGTGGTCTTGGCCTGAAACGGCCACACCAGGTCCATCTTGAAGGGCCGGTGGCCGTTCTTGGTAGCAAGGGAGAAGATGGCCCCTCCCTTCCTGTCCTCTGCTCCCTGGGCACCCCTGGCCCTCGTGAGAGCCCCAAGATGTCAAAGCAGGCCTTGGTGTCAGAGGCCGCTGGAGGAGGACATAGTTAGAGTGACTGGAGTGATCTCGGGCCCTGTCACCTGCTCAGCAGCCTCGGTGCAAAGGTGCCATGTCCCGGGCTTTCAGGGTTTCGTCTGCAAGCTGAGCTGGGGACCTGCCTGGGCTCCGAGAGGTGGCCATGGGGGCCAGCCTGCTTGGGAGGCTGCAGTGGAGCTGGGCGCGCGGGAGGCCGGCACAGGCCCGTGGGGAGGCTGAGGCTGCAGCATGCCTCCTAATTGTCCGTGACTTACAGACTGGGCCGGCCGCCCAGACGGCCTTCATAAATCAGCTCTGCCACGCTGGAGAGCCTTTCGGTGTGGCCCTCGCGGCTTGGCAGCCCAGCCCCTCCCTGCCCGAGCCTCCGGCCGCTCTGATTCTTCTGTGTGCCAGGGGAGCCCCGAGGCCCTGGGCGCGCTTCTGGGGGGCAGGGAGGTACGGCCGGGTTGCCCTGCGGACGCCTGCCTCTGGAGGGGCCCTGACTCCCCTCAGGGCTGCCCAGCCCGACTCAGCAGCCTGCCTCGGGCAGGGGGACACGGGTTCCTGACACGCGGCCCCTGGTGGCGGTGGGTGTGTCTTTTGCAGCAGGCGTGTGTGTGATGTGTGCCTGCTGGTGCGTCTCTGTGTGTCACCAGCTGGTCGGGGCACAGCACTTGGTGGGGGAAGCCCCATGTCCCCCTGTACTCTGCCCTACAATGGGGACACACAGGACATTCCGCTGATCCCTTCTAAGCAGGTGGCGTCAGAGCCCAGGTTGTGGACCTCAGCTGCCTCATTTGATGGGTGGGAGTGACACCACTGTCCTGTCCTGTCCTCGGGGCCTGATGAGCCATGAGGCTGGACTTGGACGTTCTGGGATGTCCTGCAAACGCCATGCTGTTTAAAGGCTCTGGGGCCAGAGAAGGGCTCAGGCTCCTGGTGACTTCTGCCTGCCCCCAGGGCGGAGAGGGGCAGGCCAGGCGCTCCTGAGATGCCTGCAGGTCAGCAGACAGGAGGCCAGGCTGAGGAGTCAGCTGGGCGCTGGGAGGGCTGCAGAGCCACAGAGCCTCACCCCAGTGCTGGAGAGCTCCCTCCCAGCCTGGGCTTGCAAGAGGTGACTTTAGGACAAATCACTGGCTGTCCCACTGGTGGGAGTGGACGTGGTAACTGCTCCCTCTCAGTGACCTGTCTGGAAACACACACAGGCTCCAGACAGGTGTAGGTAACTTCCTGCTGACAGATGGGCCTCAGGTCTCCAGGGGAGCTGGCGGGCTGGGTGCTGGGGGACTCAGGTTGTGAGGTGATGTCTGGGAGCCACCACCGCCACCATCGGAACCCTAGCAGCTGCAGACAGGACCTCCCACGGCACAGCAGAGGCCCAGCGAGGAGCCCTCGCCGGAGGGCACAGCACCAGCCACCTCCATGCTGGGGGCCCCGGGCAGGGCTGCCAGCCAGCCTGGAGCGTGCCAAGGCCCGAGACGGCCCAGGGCTGCCACCTCTGCATGGGCCAGCTGCAGGCTCTGCTCCATGCCACCCGCTCTGGGCCTCAGTAGGCTGTCCGCCCTGAGCCTGGGTGCTCACTGGTAAGGGGAACAAGGCCTGCTCACGCCCTGTTTTAGGAATCAAGATGTACGCGGAGGGTTTGTAGGCAGTAAGGTCGACTGATTGGGAGCTTCTTGTTGATTATTGTCATTGAGACAGCTTGATCCAGAACCCGGCTGGAGGGGTGGACAGAGGGGCAGGCCTGGCCCAGTGTCCTAAATGGGGCCACTCAGAGCCTGGGCACAGGGATAATAGAGGCGATATCAGTCTCCTTGGTGGGCATGGCCTCCAAGGGTGCTGGCAGCCCCCTTTGTGGAAAGCAGTGGGCCCTAGCCACCATAGGTGAAGAGGGGAGGGACGGGGAGGACAGACACTGGCCTCAGGGTCATCAGGTGCACCCGTGGGTCATGAGCTTCAGAGGGAAAGTTCCTTTCCTCCCAGCGCAGCGCTGAGCACAGAGTCGGCAGAGTGAACAGGTAGCAGAGCCTGGAGGGTCTCGCCACCCTGCGGGTCTCTCAGGATGTGGGAGAGACTGTTCCTCCTGGACACCCCGGGTGGGAAGGACAGGAGGACCCCAGGAGAGTCTGTGGGACTCTGGTCCCTAAACAGGAGGGCAGGGCTTGGAGCTGGGCAGTGTGATCAGATACAAGTGCAACAAAGCGTGGAGAAGTCCAGCTTGGCCGGGGGCCCTGCATTTCCAGCCTTCTTGTTGACCTTGGGCAGCAGCAGGAAGAAGGACATGGCCAGGGCACAGTGGTAGCAGCTATGGACATAGGTGTAGTCCCAATCCTGCAGGGGAAGGCGGTGAGTCAGTCTTTGGATCCCCAGAGCCCAGGACCTCCCCCAGGCCCAGCCAGCCCCTCGGGCCTAGGGCCCCTCCTGTGTCCTTGCCTGCTGTGGCCCTGCAGGGAGGCCTCTGTGTCCAGCCATGGTGGCCTTTCTTATCACCAAGCCCTCGCTTCCTGAAGGTGGTGTTGCTCACCAGGCCTCTATCAGAAGACTGGCCTCCTGCCTCCCTCCCGCCATGCCCTCCTCCAGGCTGGGCACCAGCCCCACACCCGTCATCTCAGCTGCAAGCTCCCTGAGGTCAGGGCCTGTCTCCCGCCTCTTGTGAGCCCCAGGTCCACACAGGTCAGGATGCCATGATGCTGGGGATGGGCATAGCCCTAGCACCCCCCACAGGAGGCACAAGGAGTCAGGCCACGGAGCTTCCTGGTGAGGGCACAGCCGGCCACCCCACTGAGCAGGGCCACGCCCACGAGGGCTCTTCCCCACGGGGACTGTACCTCAAAGAAGAAGCGCAACATCAGGGCCAGCGCTCCAAAGCAGAGGCCAGGGCCTATCTGCTGGGCGTAGACGCTCCTGTCGGGGTACAAGCCCTTCTTCTCCTTCATCTTCTGCAGCTGTGGGGACAGAGGAGGGACAGCAGAGCTCTCAGGGCACAGTGTGGGGACAGCCCCTCCCTGTGCCAGTGGTTCCACCTGCACACCCCAGGCCATCCTTGCGTGGCAGAGGAGTCCCTCCCGGCCTAGGCAGCACAGCCACTCCTCTGTTCCCAGGCCCTCGACAGGACAGTGGAGGTCCTGGCCTGGGAGCCTCTGGGCCAGGTAGTCACTGGGAGCCCACCTCTGGGGTGTGACAGGCTGCCCTTGAACTTCTGTCTCCCAGGCAGAGGGGAGCCCAAGGGGATCATTTAGAACAAAACATATGTCACACCTGGTGACTACTGGTGCCCTATGGCTCATGGGGCACACATGTGGCATGTGGACACACAGGTTCGCTTTACTGGTTGAAGAAGCACCTTAAATATTATTAACTCTGCAGCCCATTAAACCTGATCCCTCAGGCTTAATGTGACTGCAGCTCCTTGGCCAGGGGTGTCCAGAGCCCAGGCTGTCCTGGCTGACCGGGATGGACCGTCGCCCCTGTGGTGAGGCATGAGCCTGGGGCAGGGGCAGCACCCGAGGCTCCATGTGTCACCATGTGGGGAGCACAGACCCCAGGAACAGGCTTGCACTGGGCAAGGCAGCTCTGGCCACCAAAGGAGCTTTGAAATGGTGCCCAGCTTTTGCTTTTCTGGAACTTGCCATTGCCAACAGGAGTTGAGGACCTTGGGAGGGAGGTGTCGAGGGTCATATGGAATGGCCAGGGAAGAGGCCTGGTCCTGCCCTGGGAGCCCCCCCCCCACAAGCTCTGCTTCTGCTCCCCCGAACTGTTCCCAAGTCTCTCCCCAGAAGTGGTGAACCTCAGGGGGGGAATGGGCCCTCGTTCCAGGAAGCTACTGCCCGTGGACATCCAAAAGGAACTACACGTTCAGTGGTCTAGAAAACACAGCGTGAGTCCCAGATGCTGGCTGTCCATCTCTGCTCCTGTGGACAGCCCGTGGCCTGAGGGCAGTGGAAGCCTCCTGGCACTTGGCGGGACATGGGGAAGTGAGTCCTATCCTGGCTAATTAAAGCCTGGCCAGAGTCAGATCCAGCCAAGCAACCCGGGCAGGAGCAGGAGGGGTTATCAGACCCGGGCTGTGTTTATGCATTCCAGCATGCTAATTAATGCCGGACCCCAAAACCCCACCCGCAGGGCTTTTCAGGCTCCTGGGTCAGCCCGGGGCCAGCCTGGCGTCCAGTTAGCAGGCTCCTGTCTGCTGCTGGAGCGTCCTGTCACACTGCTGCCCTGCTGGGCTGCAAGTTGGGTGCGGGTCTCCTGTACCTAGCTCCTTCCCCGCCGCCCAGCAGGGTAAACCCCAAGGTCCTGGGTCACGAAGGGAGGGGGACAGCTGGCCACCAGAACCTCATCCCTCTGGGCAGCTGGGGTCTGAGTGCCGCTCCTTCGACTGCCCTGAGAACCGGGCTCACTGGGGCCCCCACAGCCCATTTGGCGCTGTACCCAGCGACCCAGCGCAGCTCGCGGCCTGCTGCCGAAGTGTGCCCAGGCTGCGGAAGACCAGTCTCCTCCATCCTGAGGTGGGGACCCAGAGACGTAAGGCAACGCTCCACAGGGCAAAAGCCGGTAGAATGGCGCTAGCTTGGGGTCCGGGCTGGAGCTCCTGGCTTTGTGTCTGCCTCCGGGCTCCCACCCCCACTCTGGGGCGGATCCCAGGGATGCCATGTCTTTACTTTGGCCGGCTGGAGTGGGTTCCCGGCCTCACAACCAGGAGGGCTTTGGTACAATGGAGGGCTAGGAGGCCTGGGGAGCCAGAGCAGAGGGCCTCGTGGACTCTAGGCCACAGGGTGCTCTGACCCTGGACACAGCACCCGCCGCCACATGTCCTCCTTCCTGGTAGAAGCAAGCCCGAGCGTGCCCCCTGCAGGAGGTGGCCCAGGCAGCCCCAGCTGCTCTCCAAGGCCCGCTGGCTCTTTCTCTACGGACACAGTACCACCCGAGGCGCAGCCCTGCTGTGGGGTGCTCAGTGGGTCACACCTGCATCTTGGGCCCCCTGGGGTTGCAGATGCAGAGCTGTGGGAGCCAGGCTGAGGGCGGCTCAGCTGGCCCAGTGCTGGTGCCCACCGACGAGGGCAGTCAGTGCAGGGCCAGAGCACCTGTGGCTGGTCACTGAACTCCTGGTCTCATCGCCTGCACAGGCAGCAGGTCACAGAGGCTCTGAGGCTGGAGGAGTGGGGGCGGGGTCACAGGCTCCGTGGCGTTCCCTCAGCTGAGGCACATGCAGTACACACCCACTTGGCTGCGATGACCAGGACGGCCATGCCGATGGGGCCCGAGTACACCCCATAACCCCAGCGGTCGTGGTAGGTCCGCACGGCGATGGTCAGGACGCCAAGCATCACAAACGTTGACCTCTGAGGTTCGTCAAAGTCGGCCAGCGCTGGGGATCAGGAAGAGGACGGGAGTGGTGAGTGGCCTTCCTCGTCCCTTGTGGCTGCACCCCTACCCTTAGGTGCCCACGTGGTCGTCCCCTGACCAACAGGACCCAGAGGCTCGCCTGGTCACTGAGAAGTTCGATGGACACCAGTTTCAGAGGAAAGGTAAGAGCGGCCTCCCCAGCTTGTCCAGGGCAGCTTGGGGCAGACACTCAGCACTAAGACTCGAGTGAGTCAGAATGACGGCTCAGCAGGACCACCCGGACACCTGAGACCCGAGGGGCCACAGGGGGCTCACAGGCTGGTCAAAAGGCAGAGGCCTCAGGCGGCTGGGCCCACACACGTGGACACTGCTCTAAGAGCAAGGTGGAAACCTTCCCTGGTGGTGCCATGGACGGTCACACATATGCCAGGCTAGTCCCCCCACAGAGCCACGCCCACATGAGGCCCTTGAATGGTCCTATCTTCCTAAAACCCTGGGCCAAAAATGACCTTGGTGAGCAATGCTCCTGGAAGCAGACCCGGGAGCCACACCCTGACCTGTGCGTGGCTCTGGGGCAGAGGCTGGTGGGCATGCACACAGTGCTCTGTGTGCCCTGCTCTTTAAATTTGTCACAGCAAGCATTTGTCAAATGAGTCACTTAAGAGAGATAGGAAAGTAAGAAGGCAGCATTCAAGGAGTGATGCTTTCTCATGGCTGAAGCCCAGACTGGGGGGCAGGGAAGGCGGGGTTCCTGGAGACCAGGTGGTGCGGGTGGTGGGGACCGGCTCTGGCCTGCAGGGCAGGGCGGCCACTCACCCATCAGGGAGACCCACATGCTCAGCGCCGTCCCGTAGATGCTGAAGTACTGCAGGAGATCCTGGCGCAGGAAGCAGAGCACCGACAGGCCGGGCCCCTCACAGGTGTGGTGGAGCTGCCGAGAATCAGGGTCGTCAGGGGCACAGGGACAGGCTGCTGCCCCCAGGGGCCGGCAGTCCCCAGGTACCACCAGGGAGCCGGCTACTCACGAGCTTGGAGACACTCAACCACCCTGTGCCTCAGTCTCCCCATCAACAGCAGGGGTGCCACTGGGTGTGGCCCCCACAGTGTCTCTGCGGACGTCACCCTGGCAGAGACCTCTTACCTCCTCTGGCCTCCTTGGCCTAAGGCTGGGTGGTCATTTAGAGGAAGCCTGCCAAGGTGGGGACCCTGAAATGGGACCTCTGGGTGTCCCCTGCCTCTGGACTTATTGAAGGCACACATAGGGCCTTCACACACCCATCTTTGGCTCCAAGAACAGAGCCATCTGCCCTTCGGAGCTGGGTAGCCTTTCCTTGTGCCAATGTCCCCTGTAATGTCTGGTCTGCATCACAGCAGTGCTGTCAGGTGGGAGTGGGCACAGAGAGACAGGTTGCTGTGGGCAGAGAGCTGGGTTACGGTGGCCCACCCCAGAGTCTTCTCCAGTAGGTCCGGGTGAGGCCAGAGATGTGCACTTTGGCTAGATGCCCAGGGGCTGCCGAGAGGTGCTGGCCGGCAGCTTTCCATCTCCTCAGAGAGGAGGGAGGGTGTGGATCCCTCGAGCAGGACCCAACACAGCACACTTGGTTCCCCTGCCTCTGGCCTGTGCCCGGCTGGACACTTAACAGCAATTCTAAAAACAAAATGCGTATGTGGAGTGTTTTCCAAGCAGTCAACTCACTTCTTAGGAAAGCAGCTCTCTCCCCTTTTGCATTCACATTTCATCGTTTTAAGTAATATTTAATTACATGACATAATTGTTTTGACAGGTTCAATGGCATAAACAAGCTCGCCAGCCAGCACAGTGCGCTCTTGGTAATCCCAGAGCAGCGGGAGGCCAGCGTCTGGAGGCAGCAGGGGTGCTGCAGACGGAGGGGCCCTGGGCAGTCTGGAGAGTGGAGCAAGTCGGGTGGACAGAGAGAGCTCCCGCTGCCTGCAGCCCCACGCAGCCCCTCAGAGGCGTTAACAAGAGACACAGTGTCCAGGACTAGGAAGGAGGTGGTCTTGCCTGTCTGCTCTGGTCGTCCCACCCAGACAACTGCCTTGAGCTTTGGACACTACATCTTTCTTGAGGCAATATTGGCAAAGAGGGTAGAGGAGGATGGTTATGTGCAGGACATGACGGCTCAGGAAAAGGAAGCTTCAGGTGGGGACTGAGCGAGGTGTTTAAATGTCTGTGGGATACAGAAGGGTCTCCTGGCTCCTTCCAGAACCACATCTCCTACCCCCACCTGCTGTCTCCGTCGCCCCTCGCATCACAGATTGCTGTGTGTGCTTGACTCATCCACTGGAGATTCTGGCAATGTTTATGTGCTGCCCGCCCCCGCCCCCTCCCCCCCCCCAGGAGCAGGAGAGTCTGTCTTATCCTGGCAGTGATGCCAGTTGCCAGCCTGGTGCTCACCCAGGTGTGCAGGTGAAGGGAGGAGGGTCCCAAGTGGTCTGGAAATCCAGCCTGCCCACAGGGCAGGGGGGCCTCCCTTACCTGGTCCAGGGCTCCTCCTGATGACTGCTAGTTCTCTGTGATGGAGGGGCACCACCTGCCCAAGGGGGCCTGGGAGGTGTGGCGGTTGGCACTAGCCTCCGCCTCCAACATGGGGACAGAGTAGCCTAGCTAGTGTGCCAGGCCGGCTGCTGGCCGGGTGGGCAGGGCGCAGACTCTGCAATCAGCACCCGCAGAGAGCTGTTGAGGGAGCTCAGGCAGGAGCTGACCCCTTGGGGCCTTCTCTGTCCAGTGGGATAAGGACATTGCCCTGAGGGCTCTCTAGAGGCCCTGGGTAAAGCGCCCAGCACCTGTCCCAACAGGAATGGTCACTGTCACAGAGGCCCTTGTGGGGGCAGAAGCCATGTGGAGGACAGGACTGTGGGAGGTGCAGACTGTGCCTTGAGGACATTTGTCATGGGAGACAGCTGCCTCTGCCACTCTGGGTGGGGCAGGGTGGGGCTGGGTGGGCCTCAGAGGCTGGCCACAAAGGCAGCTGTGGGGTCAGTCCACAGCAGGTGGGCGGGGGTGGGGCTCACCGGGCGAGTGCCTGTGATCTGCCGGGCTGGGCCTAACGTGGGTCCTGGGGACAAGGCCCTAGCTTCTCTGCCTGACCCTGAGGCCCTCTACCCACTCAGAAGTCTCCTTCTGGCCCTGGCCCTTGGCTTCTCCACAGCCTCAGTCTCCCCATCAACAGGCCGGGGTCCCCGGAGGAGGCGGTGATGAGCTGGGTTACGGTGGCACCCGTGCCCTAGCCTCCCGAGACTCAGCCTCCTCACCCATCACTGGGAATCCCAATGCTAGCTCCTGGGAGGTGCGGACACCTGGCATGCAGCATACCGGGCACAGTCCCCTCCCTGGACACTGGCTCTTGGCTCCTCCCCATCGGGGTAGAAGTCTCCCACCTGGAGGGAGGACTTTGAGTTCCTCCAAGGAGCTCGCCTGTCCTAGGTCATCGTTGTCCATGTGAGCCCACGACCTGGGGGAGGTGTGCTGACCCCGCCCCACCCCATAGCCTGAGCACCGGCAGCTCCTTGGTGGAAGGCCCTGTGGTGAGTGCGGCCCCAGGTCTGGTTCTGCCACCAGACACGGAAGCTGTCTGAGGGAAGCTGAGCCAGGAGCACTGGGAGGGAGCTCTGTGGGGTCCCGCAACTGGGAGGGACTCTCGGGGGACGCTGGCTAGACAGATAGACAGGGAGACAGACGACGGCTTAGGCAGGTGATCAGAGGTGGATGATGGACAGATGGCCTATCCCCCAGACAGGTAGGTGGTTAGCTAGAGGGACCCATAGGTAGAACACGTGGATCCGGGGGTGGAGCTGGAGAGGAGGAAGAAGTAAATCCCACGGGGTCTAGCTCCAGAGAGCGAGAGAGGCTGCCACAGGGAGAGGGAGCGAGGAGACGGGCCTGGAGGGAGAGCTAGACAGCCAGCCAGCAGGAGAAGCAAAGGCAGAGAGGCCACAGCGGGAAGTGAGGGGGAGAGCAACCCCAGAAACAGGGGCTTCAAAAGCAGCCAGCCAGTGCCAGGCGCTCCCCTGAAAGCCAGAGAAGATCCCCCCATGACAGTTACCTGGAGACCGAGGGGAGCCAGAGAGAGGGAGCTGGGAACCAGCCAGACACGGAAATGGAAGGAAGGACCCAGGGGCAAGGCAGCCCCAGGGGGAGAGGGCTGTGGAGCACACCCCGCTGGACGGTGGGCAGCGGAATCCTGCAGCTCGACTCACCCAGGCCCAGGTGTCCCCTGAGCCCCGCTAGTCACCCCTTCCTCCCTGCTCAGCTGTCCCAGGGCCAGAGCTGTAAGGTGGGGGCGGAGGGGCAGCGTGCCAGGGCCTAGTCCTCCCAGCTGGTGGGCATCACGGTGGGTGTCACAGTGCCACTCGTCCCAGGAAGCTCTGGCACAGATGGGGAAACTGAGGCCCGGAGGGGAAGGGGGTCCTGAGCTTCTCTCTCTGGTCTGCAGACCCCACCCTGGGTCCTTTCTTTCACTCCCAGGTCAAGCCGTCCCGCCCACCACAGCCGGAGCAGTGCCGAGGGCCTCCGGGGTCTTCCTCCCACGCCCCAGACTCACCGCCTCGAAGAACATGGTGAAGAGGTAGACCATGGCCTCCATGTGGAAACGCCTCTTGGCCGCCACACTGACAGTGGGGAGAAAGGCCAGGCTGCTGAGGGTGGGCAGCAGCAGTTTGGCCACGAGTGTCCCCATGGGCAGGAGAGGGCACTGGCTGGGAGCAGGGCTGCGGGCCTCCTGGTCCCCAGGCAGGGCACACAAGGGAGAAGGCCTAGGCCCTCGGCAGGGCTCCGCTGGGGTGGCAGCTGCAGGAGTGCCCACGAGGAGGCCCGAGTGCCCCAGCCTGTGTGAGCCCCACGGCGACAGCTGACGAGCCACGTGACCAGCCTCGCCTTGGGCCTCTTTTTTTTTTTTCTTTTCTGAAAGCCCAGAGGAGCTGACTCAGGAGGCCTTGTCTGTTTTCTCTGGGAAAAAACCTTGGGAGAAAGCCCCCGTGCATGTTCTCCCTGGGGTCTGGCCACCTTCCATCCTGGCCTCGCCCAGGGATGGGCAGACTGGTGGGTGCTGCAGCTTTGGCCACGTATCCAGGGTGCTGGAGGTGCGAGGCCCTGGAGCTCAGCCACTTGAGCACCCAAGGCTTTGCTGATACGCCTCAGCCCTCCCCCACCCACGGGTGCTGCCCACTGTCTGCACGGGTTCCTTTGCTGGTTCACATCGTTCCATACCCAAGGTGTCCAGCAGGACCCTCTCCCATGGGCTCCAAGCACAAGCCCGGACTCCAGCCTTCCTCCCCTTCTGTCCACATGGCTCCTTTGCTGGCCTTGAGGAAAGGACCTCTCTTGTTGCAGAAGGTCTTGGGGGATCTGTCTGGCAGGGCACCCTCGTCCCCCAGCCAAAGAATGGTTGGCCTGTGATCCTGCTTCCCAGCAGGCGCTCTCTCTGCATTGATGGGTTCGTGGTCAGCTAAGCCACTGTCACCACCTTTCACCTTGTCACTCTGGCATAATTCACGCTGGACAAAACACAGGTCTCGAACTTGCAGTGGTGAGTTTTGACATCCCCACTGGGTTGAGCCCAGCCCCTGAGACCCTCCCCAGGCCAAGGCGGCGCCGTCCCTACCTCTGTCCAGCTGCCTTTGCTCTGGGTCTTGGAGGTAGACTGGGCAGTGCCTCCTCAAAGCCTGGCTTCTGTCTCTGGGCCTCTGTGATGCCTGTGACCTGGCCCAGACTGCACCAGGGGCTGCGCTGGGGTGGCTTGTGACCATCCTGTGGCCACCCGCACTTTTCTTCCCCTGGGAACTGGCTCAAGGCAGGGGGCAGCAGGTGCCAGTGGCATGATGCTCCCAGAGGCTGTGGCTGCTCCTGCGGCTGCTCCTGCGGCTGCTCCTGCCCTGCCTCCTGGCTGGGAGCGCCCACACGCCTTTCCAGAAACCTCTTTCTTGTCTGAAGTTGGCTGGAACCCGTTTCTGCTCTTTGCAAGGAAACGTCCAGGTTGAGACACCTGGTGGTGTCATTCTTCCATGAGGATGCTTTCAAGGTCCCCACCTCCCTCCTGGAGACCACTAGGCCATCCTAACCCAGACCTTTCCCCCAGACCCAGGCCTCCTGGCCCCCTTCCACCATCCTCGCCCTGTCCTCCCTCTCCCTCTGTGGTCTGGAGAAGGCCTTGCTAACTCCCACCTGGGCAGTGTATCTGGGGGCGCTTCCAACCCACAGCACCCCTGCTTCCATCCCAGCACCTGCCCACTGATGGGTGCCCCTGTCCTGCAGGAGTGCTGGTGGGTGGGTCCTCGTTATCATCCCCCCTGCCCTGGCACACTGTGGATCTCCAGCAAGCACTGACTTAATGAATGACTCTGTTTAAAAAGTGAATGAAATTCCAAGGAGCGCCGCGGCCTGTTCAGCCTGGCCTTCCAGGAGCGCAGATGCCTCTCCAAATGGGAAAACCAGGCCCTGCCGCCTGCGGTGCAGGGGGAGGCACGCAGCCCCAGGGGCCCCTCCTGTCTGAGGCCTGGGTCGACCTTGCTCCTCTCCTCTCTGCCCCAGCTCCTGCCCAGCCCCAGCCCCACCCAGGAGGAGCAGGGGGTGAAGAAGAAGTGATCTGAGGTCGGTGCCTGGGAGGGGTGCGGAGCGGCTCTGGAGCCGTGCAGGAGCAGGACATTCCACAGCTGGCTTGCACAGAGCGTGTGCGTTTTGCAGCTGTGAGCTCCGGGCAGGGCTGCAGGGGGAGGAGAGGTGGGCCTGCACATGTGCTGTGGCCATTAAGGAGGAGGGGGCCGAGGAGCGACCGTCCCAAAGTGGGGAGACAGGTGTCTGGGTGGGGGGCAGCTGGGAGCCCCTGCACATAGGCTGGACTGTGAGCTGCCTCTGAGGGGTGGCTGAGCGCAGAGTGGAGGTGGGGGTGGCCGTGTGTGGCTCCCCTGGAGCCAGGCTGCCTGGACACAGACCAGCTGGCTCTGGAGAGGGCATTCAGCTCTGAGCAGGACTGAAGTGACCTTCGGTTCTCCCTGAAGAAAGGAAAGCCATTGGCCTGGGGGCCTGGGGCTGGGGAGGTGGCGTGGAGGAGGCAGGAGGCTGTTGTGGGGCCTCGCTGCCCCTGGAGACGTGGGGAGGCTGGGTCCACCTGGGCGGCTCTGAGCCACCTGAGACCGAGTTGGCCCCCTGGTTCCTCCCGCCCCCAACGCTCTTGCCTGCCAGCCCCCCAACGCTCTTGCCTGCCAGCCCCCCAGCCGCAGAGCTCCTGTGCATGCCCTCTTTACTCCAGCCCCGCTGGCCTGCTGCTGGGCTGCTTCCGTCACACTCCAGTCTCAGCCTCTCCCTGGGCCAGGACGTGCCCCGTGCCCCGTCGGGGCCTGCATGGCACTGTGTGTGTGCTGGGTGCTGACGGCCCCTGGTGCTCTCCCCGTTTCACAGAGGTCGAAACCGAGGACCAGAAAGAAGCAGCGGCCGTGTCCAGGCCTGCAGGCCGAACCTGACACCCAGGCCCAGTGCCCCCACCCTGGAAGGGCAAAGCGGCCTCCTTCACCCTGGCCCACAGGTCCCTGGTGGCTATTCCCAGCAGGCTCTTAGAATGATTTGGCCTCAGCTCCAGGCCTCTGGTGGGGTGTGAGTGGGTGGTGTCCCTCATCCAGCAGGTGGCGCTGGTCCCAGTGGGACCAGGCCGGGGTCAGTCCCGGGGCCCGCGTGTGGAGCCAAAGCTGACCACCCGCACCCCTTCCCTTGCCCCCTCAGCCTCGGGAGTGGCCAGTTTTATAGAGTTGCTGAGATGCCTGGAATGCCAGGCTCCCGCCTCCGGGACAGCTGTCTGTCTGCCCGGCCCAGGAGGGCCCAGCCAGCCGCCTCTGCGTCTGCGTCCTCCAAAGTTTGAACCCCCAGCCCATAGCGCTGGGTCACCCCAGAGCAGGCAGGCGTGCAATGGTGGCTGAGGCTGAGGCTCCCTGTGCTGGGGAAAGACAGTCTTCCCAGGGGCCCCGAGCCTGGCCAACCTCAGGAGGCTCTGCCCCTGTGCTCACCGTGGTGGCCCCGTGTCTCGGCAGCGAGGTGGCCATGAGCTGGCAGTTCGAGACACCTCAGCTTCACATCACCCTGGGTGGGCCGGGCAGAGGCCCCACCCCTTCCTGGCACCTCTGTGGGCCCTTTGGCCCTGTGAGCCTCCGTTTCCTCCTCTGTGTCCGCCCAGGCAGGAGCACAGGGCAGAGCTGGGGCAGGCTCACCCTCACATACGCTCTGTCCCCTAAACCAGGGGCTTCTCGCCCTCTGAGAGGTAAGCGGCTGCCTGCCACACCCAGGTTCTGGGGCGTGGCTGGGAAGAGAGCCTCATGGCTGGACGGCACAGCCCCTGTGCTGCCCCCCACCCCAGCAGAACCGTCCGTAGGATGCTCCTGCGAGCGCCATTTGCTGAGTGGGGTGGAGCGGGGCAGGACACAGTCAGTGGCGGCCGTGACCAGGACAGAGCCGCTGTCTAGAAAGCATCTCTGGTGAGAGAATCACCAAAGGCTAATGACAGCCGGCAGCAGGCAGAAGCCAGGAGGAGGGGACCCATCAGCTCCCTCCTCCGCCACACACCCCATCCAGGGGCTCTGGCAGCAGTGGAGCTCTAACAACGCCTGGGTCCCTAGAAGACACTGGGCCTTCTAAAAGACACCAGAAGACCCCTGGAGTGCTGGGCAATGCTGAGCTCCCTTCTGGCCACCCAGCCTTCTAACCTGTTTGCGACCCACATTTTGGGACAGAGAACCCCTTTTCTGTGGTGTCTAGGCTGCGGTGTCCTGCGCTGTCCTGGTCGTCCACAGGCCCCAGTCCCTTGGAACATCCTGCCTCGGCCTAACAGAAACCACCAGACTCCTGGCTAAGAGGAGAGGAGAAGGAACCTGGAAGTCCACCTTGTGGGCTATCCCAAGTCCTGGGGCCACCCAGGGGTCTTCAGCCCCCTCTTCAGACAGATTCCATAGGCCTGGGGGTGCTGCCCAGAAATATCCAGTCCCCAGCAGCAGGCTGAGCCCCAGTGAGCTTCCTGTTGGGGAAGGGGCCCTCCCAGATGGAAGCTAGAAAGCCTGTGGGCGCCTGGAGGCCTGGGGGAGCTGGAGGAGCTGGCCGCTGGCTGCACCCTTGTCCCTGCCGTGGCCCCCGCTCTTGCCTGCCCTGGCTTGATTCTCCACAGCAGATCTTTCAGATCTCCTCAGGGCTTGGCTCCTGAACCTGCCAGCCCTTTACGGAGACCCTTCGCTGAGGAAGGGGCATTATGAACTCGGGGTTCCGGAGACCCTGGGCTCCAGGCCCAGTGGGCAGGCCTGCCTGTCACCTGGCCCTGTGCTGGACTCACAGCCGAGAGGCCAGGCAGCACTGTGTGGCTGTGAGTCAGCTCCAGCCACACTGTGGCCTCGGTTTCCTTCTCTGTCTGGACGTGACCCTATGGCCTGGTGTGGTTTTGTCAGGGTTGAGGAAAACGGCGTAAGGAAACCCAGGGCCCAGGGTCCAGGAATACGGCTGCCCTGGCCCTGCGGCGGCCTCCTCCGGGATCAGCTCATGAACTCAAGTGCACTCCCCACAGCCCCGCATGGAGACCGCCTCCCGGCCCCATTGTGCAACCGAGGAAGCTAAAGCCCAGAGAGTCTTCCAACGTGCCCAGAGTCACCCAGATGGAAAGACTAAGATGGGATTATAACCCAGGAAGCCTGGCTTCCGGCCAGACCAAGACATAGGTAGGACACCTGGCATGGTCATCACGGCCACCTGAAGACCAGCTGCTCTCCACAGGGCGGGGCCTCCAGGTCCTGCCTCCCAAGGGTGGGCTCCAAGGCCTGGGCTGGCCTGCTGGACCTGTAGGCTCTGTCCTCTGGGGCTCTCTTCTGATGCTTCCCTGTGCAGGACAAGCCTCAGCTCCTAGTGAGGCTGTGTCCACCCCTGGGCGCCTCCCACGTGGTCATCTGGTGACCTGCTGGCCTCTTTGACCCCAGCCTCTTCAGTCCCCCATCTTGGTCTCTTCACCCTCTTGGCGTGCCCCAGAAACGTGTCTGCCATCTCATTCCCAAGCTCCTCCCCTGATCTCTGGAGAGCTTCCGTCTAAGACAGGTGCCCTCCCCAGTGCCAGGGCCACATGGCCGCGGCCCCTCGTGAGGGATCTGGGCCTGGGGGAGAGTAGAGAGAGGTGCTGCTCCCGCACGCCCTGGAGGACAAGCAGTCCCCGGCATATGCCACCGCTGGACCAACCCCGTAGTGATGGAGGACCGCCGTGGGCCAGCCATCTGGAACTGAGAGGCAACAGCTCCCGCTCATGGGTCCCAGCTGCAGGTCAGGGAGACAGATCCGCCATACAGAGTGCCAGGCCCCTGAAAGGCCTCCTGAAGAGGTGACCTTGAACAAGCAGCCAGAGTGGGGCTGAGCATGTGGAGATGGTGCTGAGGGGGCTCCAGGGGGAAGGGCAGGGCCAGACGGGTGGCCTGGCACAGTTAGCTCCTTAGTGACTGCAGGCTACCCAAGCCCCAGGCACCAGCACTGTGGAGGAAGGGGCCCAGGAAGCAGGATCCCTGGGCTGGCTCCGCGGGGGATGAGTGGAGCTGGAGCAAGATGCAGGGCCCTGTTCAGAGGCAGGGGAAGTGCTCTCCTCACCCCAGCACTCATTCCCATTCACCTCTAAAGTTTGCATGTTAGTGTTGCCTTTCTATGGGCACAGGAGAACTCGAAGGGTGAGTTCCTGCCCTTACAGGTACCGGGGACGCCCCTGGGGACAGAGGACAACAGCTGTTGCTGGACAGAGTGAGCTGGGAGGGCAGCTAAGAACCTGACCTGGGAGGAGGTAGGAGGAAGGGCTTTGGGGGCCCGGATCTGGGGGCTTCTGGAGGTCAGGTGTGGGGAGCTGAGTCCTGGAGGGTCATACACCTGGAGAGGTCACAAAACTAGGGGTTCTGGCTCCAAAGGCTGGTCTCCTAGATGGCCAGGCTGCAGCTTGGGCTGTCCCGCCAAGCCAAGGGAAGATGCTGGGGGTGGTGGTGTTGGTCGACTGTGGGCTCCTCCCAAGGGAAACCGTTAGTCACTCTGGCACTGGTGGGGTGTGGGCACCAGAAGTGCCAGGAGAGCTCATGGTCTGTGCCAGGGCCTACGGGAGTTGGGGGAGGAGAGTGGGGCAGCAGAGGCGTCCATGTCCCTGAAGGGACCAGCATGGGCGTGTCTGCCTTATATACATGGCCCTGTGCCAGCTATGGGTGACAGGTCCCAGCATGTCTGTGCTGTGGCACACTGATCGCAGGGGGCAGCGTGGGTCTAGGCTAGGGTTAGGGTCAAGGTCCGGGTGACTGGGAGCCCACACACATCCTAGCCGCTGCAGCAGGAGATGCTGGAGTCCCCTCCCTCCCATGCCCCTGCCCCCGGAGGAGGAGCCAGTGCCTAGAGAACCAGCCGACAGGGGTGGGGGGGAGTCCCCGCTCTGCTACTGCTGACAAATATGGCCTCGGGCCTGTCACTCAAAGTCACCAAGCCTCAGCTTCTCATCTGCAAGATGCAGAAAACAGAGATGCCGACCTTGTAGCTCTAGGCTCTTAGAGAGGCTCAGCTCGGGGTGTGAGCCTGGTATAGCATCCTTGTTATACTAGCTGCTGTTTCCTGATCTTTCTAGCTAGTGGTCAGATATAAGGCTGAACTTGCTGAGGATGCGACTCTTAGTCAACCAAGGGAGTAGCTGAAAGAGCTCATTCTCCAGCAGAGCGGACAGAGGTTGAGAGGAGGGAGTGTCTTCCAAGCACCACCTATGACATCTGTGGCAGAGAGACAGGGGCATGGGTGAAAGGGCTCAGAGGGCCTTCCAAGCATTGTCCTGGTTTCTGTCCCGAGGCTGGAGGTGCCTGTTCTCCAGGAGAGAGCTGGGGAGCCTGGTGTGTGAGGGCAAGTCCCTTGCCCTCAGGGTCTGCCAGGCTTCCTAGTGGGGCTGGCACAGGCTCAGCAGGAGCAGGGGCCTGGAGCCTCAGGCTGCCCTGCCAGGGGCTGCCCAGCTGGCGCTGAACATCTGCAGAGTTCCTTTCTCTGCCCGCCAACCCTGGCTATTCCAGCCGTCTGCTCTGCAGGCCGTGGGCACATCAGTCTATCTCTGGAGCCCGAGGCTGCACCCTGGCTGGGTCTCCCTCAGCCTCTCACCTGCTTAGGTCTCTGCATCTCAGGACAAACTCTCTGGGGCTGGTGGCTGGCTGGGACCTCAGTCTTTCCCTCTGTGAGAGGGGCTGCCAGCGGGGTGCCGCACGTAACCTGCCCCGTCTGCAGGAGTGGCAGGGCTGGGCCCCTGGAGCAGAAGCCAGACACCCCAGCTTCCCCAGTGACCTCAGGGTCGGGGCAGCTCCGTCTGGACACACGACATGTGCTCCCCGCTCGGGACTGGGCAGGCGGGCCTCCCTGCTTGCTGCTCCCGAGCCGCGGCGGCAGCAGCCAGCAGGCAGCTGGGCCGGCCTGGCCGGGCTCCAGAGGCGCAGAGCGGGTTAAAGTGTGCGCCAGGCCGGCCGGCGGCGGGCGGGGGAGCGGCCTGGTGGGAAGTGTGAGTTCCTCCCCGTCTGCCTCACAGCTATAAAGGCGGCTGCGGCCTGGGAGCCGCCACTGGGCTGAGTCCCCTCCCGGGAACCCCCTCCCTTGGATGCTCTTTGAAGTGGGAGAGGGAGGCGGCCTGGAGGCGGGGCCAGAGGGAGGCCGAGCCCCCGCTCCGCGAGGCCCTCCCCGCACAGCACACCTGGCTGCCCGGGTCCCTGTCTGTGGCGTCTGCCTGCCAGCTCTCACCCCTTTCTCTGGGAGGACAACCTGCTGACCCCAGGCCAGGTAGGCCACCTTGTCCCCATCTCCCTCTTGTCTCAGCCTCCTGGAGGCATGACCTGCAGTCCTTCCAGACCAGTCAACTGCTCAGAGCGGGACTGGGAGCTGGGCGTCCTCCAGCCCCCCTGGGAGCCCCCCTGGGTCGGGGGCAGCCCTGCCCAGCACAACGCAGGTGGTGCCTCAGCCCCAGCTGCAGCCCATGCTGCGGACCCTTTTGCTCTCTGGTTGCTCTTTTGGGACCCCTGGGAGAGACGGATCCCGGGTGAGCTGGGCCTGACCAGAGCCAGCGGCGTCTGGGAGCCTTAATGAAAACCAAGCGTGAGGCCTGCTCGGCACCTGTCTTTAGCGGCTGGCAGGGCTGGGGCACCAGTGAGCCACCAGGACAGCTCTGGGCACCGAGCTGGTGCAGGGCTGGGGCACAGCTGGAGACCGCGGGGAGGGGAGGTCAGTGGGGCTGGGTTGGTGGCTGCGCTGGTAGCATGGGGCCTTGGGGCTCTGGGTCCTGACTCCAGGGTGCATGCCGCAGGCTTCGGGTGGAGGGTGTGTCGGCTAGGTCAGGACACCTGGGGGTGCTGGACCTGCCAGGGAAGAAGAGTTGGAGCTGCGGGGGTAAGGGTAAGGGGCCACTCTGGAGCTAGCTTCTGGGTGGGGGTGATTCGCATACCCTCTCCCCCTGGAATTTGCAGACATGGGACGAGTCCTACATTTGCTCAGAGGCTGGAGCCAATCGCTTGCCTTGCTGTGTGGTTTTGGACCAGTTGGCTTCTCCCTCTGGACTCTGGGCTTAGTGGTTCCTGAGTCCCCTCCTTGGACTCACTGGCAAGAGACACTCACCTCAGACAAACCCTGGGCAGAGGCCATTAGTCCCTGCTCTTCTCTTTTAGGGCAGGGTGCCTGTTGGGGATAAGGTGGGGTGGGGATAGAGCCCAGGGGCTGGGAGCTCCCCTCGATTTGATTGGATTTGACCCCTTGCAGGTGTTCTGGGCCAGAGGTGTGACTTGTGGGGAGGGGTAGGCTGCTTGGTCCTGGCCACTGGCACAATGGCTCAATCTGCACTTCCTCCAGGCCTCTCCCTGATTCCATCTCAGGCCGGAGGGACACAGATAGCCGGGCTTTGTGCCGAGTGCCAGCTGCCGCTGGATGCCTCTTCCTGAGAATGAGCCAGGGTGGTGAGGCTGTGGCCTCCCCGAGGCCACATGGACAGGGCAAGGGGAGGCAGGGAAGAAAGGGCTGGGCAAAGCCCCCGGCCACCTCCTTGCCCTCTGCAACCCCCTCTGGCCAAGGCGGAGCCCGGGGCCCCTCCCCCTGCCCTGGCCTCCAGCTGCCTGCACCATCCCTGGTTTCCTGACAGCCATTCTCCAGGGAGCACCAGTGTTCAGAGTCCAGCATGGCTGCTCCCTGGGTGCCCTCAGCTCACAGGTGGCCTGGGCCCGGCATGCACACCACCCCTCTGTCCCCAAGCCCGGGCAGGCCTCTAATGGCTCACAGAGTTCCTTCTTGCTGAGCCCAGATGGATGGCTCGGCCTCTCCCTGTGTGGCCTGCCAGGCGGCCACTACCACCCAATCCCAGGCAGGCTGGCAGCTTGGGGCACTGGGAAACCCTGAAGGGCTTTTCTCCAAAGCAGTGCCTTGCTTCCTAGGATGGACGGTGGACAGTGGCATTCGTACTGGGCCTGGTGCCTGCTGGCCCTGGCAGTTGTGGCTGGGGGTGCAGCGTCCACTGAAGCCTCGGTGAGTAGGCTGTCATTATCAGGCCCCACCCCGAACCTCAGGTGCTGTGGTCACTTCCAAACGGATGGCTTTGGAGGGGCTCTGTGACAGGCGTGGGGTATCTGCCTGGGTCCCAGAGCCCCTGGGGCCTCAGAAACCCATCCACAGAGCCAGTCAGATCAGCCCCTCAGCTGAGGCTCTGGCCACCGTGTGTCAGGGTGCAGCCAAGGGTGGCCGGGTGCCTCCCCTCCAGCAATGTCCTGGACCGAGGCGTGTGCTGGGGGCTCGTGTCCTGCAGATGCATGGGCAGGCCGTGCAGAAGCAAGTGCAGCTGGTGGGGTGAGGCCCCTGGAGCCCTCCAAGCCCCCAGATGTTCAGATCTTAAGACAGGACATGGCCTGGCACTCAGGGAGTCACTCCAGAACACCTTGCAGACCCGAGCCTGGCACTGTGTGGCCAGCAGGATCCCTCAGGCCCAGGGTCAGGCCTGTCCTGCTGGGCACTTGAGCCCCTCGCTGACCGTCTGTGGGGCCTCTCACCCAGGACAACAGCCTGGAGGGGGGTGCCGATGCCACCACTTACTGGTGGGGGGAGTGGACCAAGTGGACGGCGTGCTCCCGCAGCTGCGGGGGTGGGGTGATGTCCCAGGAGCGGCACTGCCTGCAGCAGAGGTGTGAGCTTGGCGCGGCTGTGGAGGGGGGTGGCGCATGGGGTGGGGCAGCCGGTGGGCAAGGTACCAGGGTGGGCAGCTGGGCCTGGTGGCTCCTATACTGGGGATCTCACGTTTGAGGAAGTCAGGGTCAGTCTCCCACTGGCTGCTGCCAGGGACACAGCTTCTGCTGGGTCCTAAAGTTGTGTTAGAGCTCACCATGCTCCTTGGTCCCAGGGGTGCCTCTCACGGGAGAGGGGGAGGTTTCTAAGGCTCGCCATTGCGGGGTGAGACCCTCGTCTCTTCTGAAGGTCCCAGCTGAGTGGAACAGGCAGGAGCACAGTGCAGGACCATAAGCCCTCACCATCAGGCAGACTTGGATTTGAGTTTTTTCTCTGCTACTTTCTTTCTGGCTGTGTGACCTTGGGCAAGTCACGTCACTGTCTCTTGCACGTTTTCTCGTCTGTAGCATGGGGAACTTGCTGGAGCTCCCTCATGCTTCTGAGTACATACGAGGAGACCCTGTGTTTTCTGCATCAGCACAGCACCAAGTGCGTGGCGAATGCGGTGCCCTTATAGATTCTGTGTAGTATGACCCTGTGCTGTGCTGGGGCTCTAGGAACCAATCGATCATTGTCCTTGCCAGGCCTGGGGTGGGGCAGGAGTCAAGTGGGAGGGAGGAGCCCGACCCCAGCAGGGAGAGCTGGGCGCGGGGCTCTGGAGGGCGCTGGCCCTCCCTGAAGGGGTGTTGGGCCTGCAGCTCCTGCTCCGGCTCTGGCTCAACGCCCCGCACCCCGCCTTCCTGCCAGGAGGAAGTCTGTCCCAGGTGCTGGCAACAGGACCTGCACGGGCACATCCAGGCGACACCAGCTCTGCAGAGTGCAGGTGAGGCCGCCCACCTTCCCCTGCTTTCAGGCAGGTCCCACTTGGCACCCTATGTCTTGTCGCCCTGGCCCCCTGGCGTGCCTCCTGGGCCTGCCCTTCAGGAAGAACCAGGGTGGGGTTGGTGTCCAGGCTCGGACTGAGCTCCCTTGGGGGTCAGACTACTGTGTCATGCCCACTGTCCTCTGGGCATGTGTGGGACGGCTGGACTTGCTGAGGCTCCCGTGACTTCCAGTGGGGCCCGAGGGCTGGGGGCACTGCCTGCAATCGTGGGCCAGGTGCTCCTGGGCAGACGGCACATGGCTTCCTCGTCCCCGCCTGTAAGACAGTCCTACTGGGCTGCTCTTTGGGGCTCGTCCAGCTCCTGTGCCCCTCGAGCTCTCTTCTGCTCCCAGGTGCCCCCAGCCTCTGCCTCTTCCTTAGCCTTGTGCCGGGAACCAGGGTGGTGGAGCAGGAGCGCTGCCTCTGGGCGGCCAGTCTTCTCTCAGTGGGGCCAAAGTCAGTCTGAACACGAATGCCTGCAGACCCAAGGGCAGCTGGGACATGGGGTCCTGGAGCTGGCTCCTTCGGGCTGCTGGGCAGGCCTGGGCTAGGCAGGCAGAGTGGCTGGGGTTCCCATGTGTGCACCAGCACCTCTGGGATGGCCTTCTCCGGGTCCACATTCCTCCTGGGACGGTGCTGCCATTTGCGAGCTCCTGATGGAGACACCTCAGCACAGTCCAGACCCAGCATGACTAAGCCGGCCCCTTGGACAGGGTCTCCCTCTGCCTTGGGTCCTCCTCTGTGGAGTCAGGTCCCCCCTCCTGATCTGGTTCCCATGCATGGCCAGCAATGGTGCTAGGATGTTGTAGGTGCCTTGGGGACACCTGCACCCGTGTCTGCCTGAGGAAGGAGAGCAGGGGAGGGCAGTGTGGTCAGGGCCATGGCGCCCATCCCCTCCACTGTGGCTAGGTGGAGGCCAGGTGAGGAGGACCACCTCCCTGTGGTGGTGGGAGAGAGGGAGCCCCAGCGAGGGCATGAGAGGTCGCCATGGGCTGTGGCCCTTAGGGGCTCAGACTGGACAAAGGTGCCCTCTGGGGCCAAGTCCCTCCTGGAGCCCCCACCTCTCCCTTCCCAGGAGTGTCCACCAGACGGGAGGAGCTTCCGAGAGGAGCAGTGCGTCTCCTTCAACTCCCGAGTGTTCGACGGGCGGGCATACCAGTGGAAGCCCCTGTACCCCGGTACTTACAGCCCTGCAGACCTGCCAGGTGGGGGGTGTCCTTTGTAGTCCCAGGACTATCTGATGGTGGGGGCGAGGCCTGGAACAGGGGTCCGGAGGTTGTGGTGGCAGCTGTGGAGCCTGAGCACAGCCCAGGTCTCCTGCTCCAAGGCCTGGAGGTCTCCTGTCCCGACCCGAGGCCTTACCCGGGACAGTTCCTGGGGCTGAGTTTCCTGCAGCCTGGCTTCAGGGTCAGCACACTTCCCGCTCACTGGCTCCTGGCTTGGACAGGAACCAGCCCAGACAATCCCAAGCAGGGACTGGCTACAGGCCCAGGTCCCACAGGGCCTGTGGGTGTAGTGGCCATCTCCCCCTCTTTCTCTCTCTGGGGCTGGGGGCAGGTTGTCCAGGCAACAATGCAAATGAGTTAGCCTGTCCTGCTCCTGGGGAAAGCGCTGGGCCGGGGTCTCAGGTGTGGCCCCCACTAACAGGAGGCAGAAGCCAGAACCAGGAAGCCTGGATTGGGCTGGATAATCTGCATCGTGGTCCATTTCTGCCACTGAGACCCTGGGCAGACCCGTTCTGCCCTCCAGACCTTGGCGGGGAGGGTGCTGTCTCAGCAGGAGGAAGTGGGGAAGACCCTGGAGTCCAGCACCCCCTCCCCACCGAGACCCCCTCCCTCGTCCCCCAGATGACTACGTCCACATCTCCAGCAAGCCGTGCGACCTGCACTGCACCACTGTGGACGGCCAGCGGCAGCTCATGGTCCCCGCCCGGGATGGCACGTCCTGCAAGCTCACCGACCTGCGAGGGGTTTGCGTGTCTGGAAAATGTGAGGTTGTTAAACATTGTAGCAAAGTACGCTGCTCTCACGCGGTCCAGGGCAGCGGCAGCCCCGGCCCCGCCACGGCGCCCTCCCATGGCCATCTCCCTTGCTTCTTGCAGCCCATCGGCTGTGACGGGGTGCTCTTCTCCACCCACACGCTGGATAAGTGTGGCGTCTGCCAGGGTGACGGGAGCAGCTGCACTCACGTGACGGGCAACTACCGCAAGGGCAACGCCCACCTTGGTGAGTGCCAGGCTGGGATGCCGGGTGCCGGGCACAACCTCCCTGTTGGGCACCTTCAGACGAGTTCTTTTGAGTTCTTCCCTCTCGGGCCACCCGAGTGTCCACCAGGTGCCGGGGCTGGCCCCGTACTGAGACCCCTCTGACTGGCACCTGTTGTGTGCCAGAAGGCAGTTGGCATGGGGACCATATCCGAGCTACGAAGCAGCCTGCAGGGAAGTGTTGCTGCCACACATAAAAGAGAGAAACTGAGGCAGGGCCCCAGCCCCAGAGCTGCTGTGAGAGTTGACCCTGAGCATGCCAGCTCCTGGGGCCCACCTCTCAGGGGCTCCCCTCACCTGTGAGTGGACTCCAGTCCAGAGCCCCTGGCCCCTGGGAGTGCCTGAACCTCTTCAAAGGCATGTTTATATCCAGCTCTGGTCTGGCTGGGGGTCTGTGTGTGTGACAGGCCTTTCTACTCTTGGTCAGAGGTCACTTCTATCACTGTGTCAGGTGTCCACTGAAATCCATGTGCCATTGAGCTGGTTTAGCACAGCCTCCTGGTTGGGGAGCTTGAAGCCCACTAGGCAGGTGGGGAAACTGAGGCCCAGAGTGGGCATTACCTGCCCAGGGTCCTCCAGTGAGTCTGGGCTAGAACCAACCCTGTCAGGGCCACTGAGGGGTCCAGGTGGTGGAGGATGGTTCACCCCTGCACAAGGGGTAATTATGGAGTTAGATTGGCTTCCAGAAGGTCCTGGGGGAGGGTGCTGGAGAGGGTGGGACTTGGACACGCAGCTTGGGCAGGGCAGGCTGGACAGGGCTGGGGAAAGGAGGGGTGGTTGGGCAGCGCAGCCAGACCGGGGTGTGAATTATGCATGTTGAGCGCTTGCCAGGCGCGATGGGCAGAGGCCCTTGCCTTGGCGGCCTTGCTGTGGGAGGGGCCGTGTATAGCCGTTGGAGGGTGCCTGTCCCTCTCCTCCTCTCACCAACCTGCTTGCATGGCCTTGGGCTGGACCTGGGGCATGGAGGCGGGGCCTGCGGTCACACAGTGCATCTGCTTCAGGGCACCCGGGACGTGCTGGGGTCATGGGGCTGCAGCCACAGACAGGAGGCATGCCCAGGGGAGTCCCCCCCAGGAAGGAGCAGGAACAGTCCCAGCTAATTCTGGGGGTGCCCCAGGCTGGCAGGGCACTGAATCAGGTCTGGCCCGCGTTAACTCTTCCACGCCTCCTGACGTCGCTCCACGGCAGGCAGAATTGCTGCTCGAAGCTGCCAAGACGGGCAAAGGGGGCGGCATGACCTGGCTGTAGTCCCTTAGTTACAGAGCTGGGCTGGCTCTGACTGAGCCCTCACTCCCTGGACCCCAAAGTGCTCACTGTGAAACATGGGCCAGGCCAGAGCCTTCAGGGACCTGTAGGGTGGGGTGGGGTCTGGGAGGGTGGGCAAGCCCAGCCTGGCCTGCAGGAGCAGCTCGTCTGGGTGACAGAGACTCTGGGTGACAGAGGCACGTGGACTCTACTGCTGCCCACAGGGAACCCAGGACGGGAGTGCCAACCCCAGCAGGCCCTGCATTCCTGGGCCCCTGTGGCAGACTTCCCTGTTCAAGGGTTGTTCAATCCCCTGTCCTCACAGGGTGTGCCCCCAGCCCCCAGCCCCTCAAGCCCTGGGTGGTTTGCAGGACTCTATGGCTTCCCCTCCTTCCTAGGGACGTGGGTAAGAGACTGAGCTGGCTGAGGTGCCCTCAGATGGACTGAGAGGCCTGGTGCTGGGAAGGCTGGGCCCTCAGGGTCCTCGTGGCTTGCCATCAGGGTGACGCTCTGATGAGATGGGAATAACAGTGATGATGTGCCATCCTGGAGAGGATGGTGCTGAGCCTGTGTGCAGACGAGGGGACCGAGGCCTGAGGGCCCAGTGATCATCCCGGCCCCTTGGGTGATGCGTGGCCATGAGACCGAAGCCCACGGGCTCCAGTGTGTTAAGGTCCCTGAGGTACACAGAGTCCCTTCCCAAGGCGGGGCTGGAGCTGGTACCAGTGAGGAAGGGGCTGGCCTGTGGCCTCGGTGGGAACAGGCTGGCCAGGTCAGGGGCTGACAGGAGGCTCAGCCTCGGGGACAGCACAGGGCATTTCAGGGGACCAGGGGAGTGGACCAGCCCCTAGACTGCTCCCCTTACCTGCTGGCAGCTGCCACCAAGGTAGCATTCCTCAGGAGAGGTGACGGCGGCTTACTGACTTCCATCTGCCTCCAGGTTACTCTCTGGTGACGCACATCCCTGCTGGCGCCCGGGATATCCAGATTGTGGAGAGGAAGAAGTCGGCCGACGTGCTGGGTGAGCTGCGGGGTGGTGGGCAGTGTCTAGGGGTGAGGAACCTTCCTTTGGGAGGGGGATGGACAGCAGTGTGGCCCCAGAGACAGGGTGGCAGTGGCCGTGGGGGATCCTGGGGAAGCCAGCCTCTCCCTCCTGCGCAGAAGGTCTTTGTACTCAGAGCTGCTGGACAGGGACAGGGTTGTGGCCTTGGGTGGTGGATTCCCTGTCACTAGAGAGGCTGACCCAGCCAAAACTGGGGGTGCTGGAGGTGGGGTCCCTGTAGGGTGCAAGGAGTGAGTCTCAGGAGGTGACAGGTCAGGTAAGGCCGAGAGGAGGAAGGTAGTCAGTCCAGGGTCCTGAGTGACAGAGAATCAGAGGTGGGATTGAGCCAGGCTGGGGCCTCGTGTCGCTCTGCCCCACCGTCCCCAGTGGGAAGCAGGGTCTTGGAGGGGAGGCTGCTACCTTGAGGTGTGTTGGAGCTGTTTGCAGAGTGGTCCAGGTGGTGAGGCCCTATCTTGGTGACACATTTTGGATGGGCTCTCTGTGTGGCCAGAAGCTCCACCTGGCAATGTGTCATGTCCACACCCCCAGGCAGTAGGCTGAGTGGATTCCCTGTCACTGCCAAGGCAGGCAGGTGCTGATACCTGTGAGCTGCCCTGCCCTGGGCCCAGGCTGTGTTGGGGGCTGCTCCCCAGCACAGGCCCAGCCTGCTCCTGACCCGTGCTCCCTCCTGCTGCCCCCCCTCCCCATGCCTCACAGTGAGAGCCAGGACTCTGGGGATGCTGGAAAGGGGAGGGGCTTTGCTGAAAATCCTCAGCTTGGGACCCAGCCTTGTCCCTGCTGCCCCTGCCCAGATGCCCTGGGTTGGCGCTCTGTGCACCCCCTGGAAGGAGCATCCAGTCACTGCAGGTCTGCAGCTGCTGGCCCCAGGTGTCACCACCCTGGGGGCTGCTCTGGACAGAGCCTAGGAGCTGGGCCCCTTGCCAGGCCAGTTGCTCTGTCGCTTGCTGGATGGGGAGTGGCGAGGCCAGGACAGGCCGTGTTCTCTGGGCTGGCTGCAAAGTCTCATTCTTGAAACAGAATCGTGGAGACGCCAAGGGCAGCCTTGGAGAGCTGGGGAGCCGCAGGAAGGAAGGTCCTCACTGTCAGGAAACAGGCTTTGGACGCGAGCCCCAGCTGAACCCTGGGCGCGTACCTGGAAGCTGAGCCTCGGAGCTGAGCCGAGACAACCAGGCCTTGGCAGAACTTGGACTTTGCGTTATTTTCTGACGTTGTTACGTTAAGGGTGCTTTTCATGCAGACACGTCCTGCTTGTTGCGTCTGTCTGATAATAAATTAATTGCCCCGGCTCCTCTGTTCAGATTGCATCAGCGACTTTGGAAGCTGTTCTCCTCTGGCAGGCCGGTTCCTGGAACTGGCTTTAAGGACACCCTTTGGAAGACAGAGTGTCCCTGAGTGCTGAGTCTGCCTCCTCCCTCCTGTCCCTGTTCCTGGAGGATCTGAGGGCCTCAGCTCGCCCTCCAAGCCCAGAGAGGACCAGCTCCAAGCAGGCAGTCCCTTGGCCTTGGAGCACAGGGAGACAGGCTGCTGGGGGGTTCAAGCACATTCCTCTGCCCTGAGCTTCCAGCTGGCTCCAATCAGGCCCTGGGAGTGTCCACCCACACCCACCTCAGGGAGAGGGTGACAGAACGGGCCCAGGCTGCCCTCTGGCCTGGTTGGACCTCAGCAGGCCTCAGCCCAGCCTGGGTGGTCAGGCTGGTTGGATGGTCAGAGGGACAGAATTGGTCCCTGGTGGTCCCTGGAGAGGGCACAGCTGGTCAGCCTGGTGTGGTCCCCAGGAAGGGCCTGGTAGACCGTGTCTGCACCAGCTAGGTCAGGGCTGTAGTGTCACTGCTTTGGGCACTGGATAAGGCACTGATGTCCCCTTCTTACCACCAGGATAGAAGCTGAAGCCCCTCAGCTCCTCAATGGCAGTTGGGAGAACTGGCCCAGGGTGTCCCTGGCTGGCGATTCTAGCCGTCCCGACGAGTCTGTGGTGTTTATTTAGGCTGATAGGAAAGGGCGTATGCACCTCTTCAGCACTGACTGGCCAGGGACATGTGCTGGCCACAGGTCTGTCTGATCCTCCAGGTGACATTAAGCTTCCTGTCTCTGTGGCATTTAGGGAAGGGCTGGGGGGCTGGCTGTGGCTCCCTGAGGAAGCGGTGCCAGTTCCCTGCCCCTCATTCCTCCCTCTTGCCCATCTGTTGGCCCACGTGACCCGGTGGCTTTGCCTTTCAGCTCTTGCGGATGAAGCTGGCTTCTACTTCTTTAACGGCAACTACAAGGTGGACAGCCCCAAGAACTTCAACATCGCGGGCACCGTGGTCAAGTACCGGCGGCCCATGGATGTCTATGAGACCGGCATCGAGTACATTGTGGCTCAGGGGCCCACCAACCAGGGTCTGAATGTCATGGTGCGTGTACCCCAGGAGGGGGAGACCACAGGGATTGTGGGGCTGCTCCTCAGAGTCACTGGCAAGGGCCTGTGGGCCAGTGGTCCCCATGGTCTTGCCACGTGCACACTCATGGTGCATGGCGGATGCTTGGATTGGGGCTCTTTCCTTCAATCACTGAGATCCTTGCTCACTAGCCCCCCCACCCCGTTTCCTTCCTCATTCATTCACTCAGCCTCCCATCAACTCATCAACCCATTTACCCACGCACTTGCCTCTCAATCACTTGCTCTCACTCAATCTCCTATACATCTATCTGTAACCTATCCACCCACCCATCCCTCCATCCATTCATCCACCTATCCATCCATCAATCTGCCCATTCATCCTTTCACCCATCCATCCACTCATCTATTCATCTATTCACTCATCCACCTACCAACTATTCACACATCTATTCATCTACCCATCTATCCATCCACCCATCTAAACAGCATCCATCCATCCCCCGTCCATTCTCCATCCATCTCTTCATCCATCCATCCATCACCCACCCACCCATCTCCCCACCCATCTCCCCACCCATCTCCCATCCATCCATCCCTCACCCACCCATCCCCCACCCATCCCCCCGTCGTTCATTCAGCACGGCTGCACCTTCCTTGCCGGCTGGCACTATGGGCAATGCTGTGCTGATCCATTCTCTGGTCATCAGGAGCCTCCCAGGGAGCTAAGGCTTGGTCCATGCCCACTCCACAGTTGAGGGCTTTATGCCCCCATCTAGTTCCATGCTGCCCCATTGTCACTGTGGTGTTTGTGCCAGGTTCCCAAGGCTGGGGGGCCAGAGCAGTTCTTGTAGCCCCTGGCCCTCACCTGACCCTGCCTCCACTGGATGCTCAGGTCTTTGGGGGCTGGCTCAGGGTCCCAGCAGCGGGCAGGGGAGTTTGGCCTGTGCGTGCTGCTTGTCACAGTTTTCCATGGCTGGCATCTGGAGATGCCAGGGTCAGGAGGTTCTGGGGCTATTAAGGCCAGCAAGCATTTGGGAGTGCTGCAGGACTGAAAGTCACCCACCCACTGGTTCTGGCTTTTCATCCCCTGCCATGGCCAGTTCTCATGGCCTCTTGTTGTAGGCACAGAAACTGGGCACAGGGAGGCTGGCGACTTGCCCAGTGATGGACTCATAGCAGCACCCCTGGGGTTCAAGCAGCCCTGCCTGGAGTCGAAGCCAGTGTCCCCTGGAGGCATCTCTAATCAGGTGCCCCCCACACTGCCCTCAGGCTGAGGAGATGCCCTACGTGGCCCAGAATCTCGCGGGCTGGTGTGTTTCTGTGCCTGCGCTCTCCTGGCCTTTCCTGGAGCCTTCCTGAGATGGACTGGCCCCGGCTGGAGGAACAGTGCCAGGGGCTAGGGTCCCCAGAAATAGCTCAAGGCTGGAGGTCCGATGCAGGTGGCTGGGGAGGGTCTTGGAAGCAGTGCCGGGGGGAGGGCTGGCTCAGGACTGTGGAGCTGTGGGCTGCGACCCAGGCACAAGCGGCTCTCAGCCCATCCCTCCAGGTCAGCGTGAACTTGAGCGAGGCCTTTGTGTAGTTGCTGGGTGCAGTTGTCCCTAGGGAGGGGTTGGCCTTGGGGAGAGAGCTCCCTCTGGCTGAGCCTGGGGTGGGGCTCAACGTCCACGTCCACGGCCCCTGCAGGTAGGCCCCTGAGGGTGAGAGCCGGGCGCACCAGGCAGCCACCGCGGCCCCCGGACCCTGCTGGGCTCGGAGCTCTCCTCTCCAGCTCCAGTGGGATGAACTGTGGCTGGCCCGGGGGCCACAACCCATGCCCCTTGCTTCCCTCTTCCCTGCCTGCTTCAAATCCCCCCGCACATGACTGGCACCTCTGCTGATTTCAGTGACTTTCCTGGTGAGGTGATTCTGGTCTCCACGGCGTTCTCAATTCCAAGGCCGCTGCCCTTGTCCAGACCCCATCAACACTGGGCAGCAGGCCAGGCACAGTGGGCACACTGGTAATCCCAGACACCTGGGGAGCTGAGGCAGGAGGATTGCAAGTTCATCTACCCATCTATCCATCCAGCCTCGGCAACTCAGAGAGACCCTGTTTCTAAATAAAAAATAAAAAGGGCTGGGGATGTGGCTCAGTGGGAAAGTGTCCCTGGATCCAAAAAAAAAAAAAAAAATGGGGCAACAGGATACCAGTGGAGGCCCAGGAGGATGGGTCAGCAGGCCCAGGGTCATGTGGTGTCCTTCTCTGCTCTCCACAGTTAGGGTCAGTTACCCTGCCAGGATGGCCATTTCTTTCTTTTGGAGACAAGGTGCCCACAGAGACCAGGTGGCTACCATAACTTACAGTTTAAGGAGACAGGGTGAGCGATTTGGTGGCCCCACTCCCATGAGGGTCTCGGCACCCCAGGTCCTGCAGGGCCGGGGAGTACAAAGCCCCAGGCAGGTGGCCGCTGGGAGTGCCAGCCCTGCTGCTTCTGCCCCCGGTGTCCTCAGCCATGGAGTCCACCTACCGGGACCACGTGCCATGTCACAGATGTAGCCGTGGCAAGGGGCCTGTCACTGTGCCTCCTTTGTGGCCCTTGCTTTGCCATGGAGCAGATCCCCTGCCCATGTCAGTGTCTGCGTCAACCTATCTCGTGTCAAAACCTCTGTGAGCCCCAGGGGAGCCCTGTGAGGGCAGCCAGCTTGCCCCCCAGCAGCTGAGTGGCCAGCTCTGTGCTGGTGCCAGCAGGCTGTGCTCTGGCAGGGGAAGTGGCTGAGTACCCCTGGCCATGCACACCCTTGGCCATGCGTGATTTCCACCCTGTGTAACCAGGAAAGCCATTCTACTCGGACCTCGCTGCTCAGCACCTCTTACACGGCAGGGGTGTCCCCGTGTGCTAAGCACTAATGAACAGGTGAGGACCCGCACCCCAGGACAGCCGTGTCCAGGAGTGCACCAGGAAGTCCCCTGGCCTGTGTCCTCTAGGCTGCTGATCAGCCAGCCAAGCTCTCCACATGGCCCATGATGCTGGCCTTCCTGCTCACAGGCCATGCTCCTGGTCAGCCTGTGTCCCTCGGTGGCCAAGTGGTCCTGCCAGGAGGGTTTCCTACACCCCTGAGGGAGAGTTCAGTGAATCGGATCCTCACACTGCGCTGGTTTCTCCACACCAAGTTCAGGCACTTCCTGCCCCCCCACTTGGCAGCCAGGGTACCTCCTGCAGCCCCCGAGAGCTCAGAGTTGTGCTGGTGCAGGAGTCTTGGGTTGTGGCTGTCTGGGACATTGGATCGTGGCTGTGGCACAGCTGTCCCATGAGGACTATGGAGTTGAGAGAGCTCACAGCCCAGCTTTGGCTGCCTGGCTGTCCCCATCCTGTGGCCGCAGGGGTCCGGCCCCAAGGCTGGCGGGTGTTTAAATGAGAAGATGGCATGGCTGGCTCCTGAACCCCAGGGTCTATGCTATGATGTCCCCCTGGGCTTGCCAGAACCGCCACATGACATTGCTTCCCCACATACCTCTGTTCCCCTGGGGTCTGCCAGTTCCTGTGGCCCAAGTGGCCAGCTGTGTGCGTCACAGCCTGGACCTGCCTCAGAGCCCTCTGTACTCAGCACACCACTCAGTGCGCTCTCCTTCTCTCCCTCCCTCTCTCCCTCCCTCCCTCTCTCTCTCCTTCTTTCTCTCCGTCCCCCTCTCCCTCCCTCTCTCCTCCTCTCTCCCTCTCTTTCTCCCTCTCTCTCTCCTCTCTCTCTCTTCTCTCCCTCTCTTTCTCCCTCTCTCTCTCCTCTCTCTCCTCCTCTCCCTCTCCCTCTCCCTCAGTACTGGGGATTGAACCCAGGGATGCTTTACCACTGAGCCACATCCTGGGACCTTTTTCTTTTTTATTTTGAGACAGGGTCTCGCTAAGTTGCTTAGGGCCTCTCTCAGTGGCTGAGGCTGGCCTGAAACCCGCAATCCTCCAGCCTCAGCCTCCTAGGTGACTTGGATTACAGGCTCGTGCCACTGTGCCCGGCGAGCTGGCAGCTATGTCGCCAGTGGGAGGGCTGGACTGATGGTCCTGGATGAGGACGAGACCCTCCCCAGGATTCTTCCTGTGTTCTGGTGACAGACAGGCTGTCTCCTTCTGTAGGAGCAAACCACAGGACTCTGCACAGGTGGACGGCTCCCAGCCCTGCACCCTTGGGTCCTGAGGCTGGCACTGCCCTGTGGCCTCCCGTAGGCCATGGCGCTGTCTTGGACGGGGTTGGACAGAGTCTTGTGCTTACCTTCTGCACCATGGCTCTCACCCCACGAGTCAGGGACCCAGTGGGAGGTCCCACCAATGGTGACCCACTGGGGACAGGGGAGCCTGAGGCCTGAACCACACTCCAGTTGTTACCACCACGAGCTTGCACACAGTCCAGGAGTGATGGTGCTCCGAGTCCCCAGTTGGTGTCCCTAGTTGGTGATGGCAACTTGGACCCTGGTTCTAGCATGTGGACCCACCTCTGCAGGGAAGTCAACCTGGTAAATGGCTTCGACCTTTGGGGAGGAAGTGGGGTCATCCTCGCACAGCCTTTGGGTTCCTCCTGGGGCCCGGCTGTGCACCCACTTGGAGATTCTGGCTGAGAACTGGCTCAGGGAGCAGGGCAGGAGCCTGGCACTCCTTGGGGCAGTGCCCCCCCCCCTCCACACCTGAGTTCCTTGGTGGAAAGATTGAACTGGGCCTTTTCTGTCCCCTGGTCTGTCTCTAAGGGGCCCTTTTTCCTGTTAGCCATGCACAAAGGTCTCTGTGGACCAGGCCCCCACCAACTGCCTTGACCATTTCAGGATCCGGTCACTCCATGGCTGCTGGGGATGTAAGAGCATCTCCTGCCACCAGCATCTTCCTGGCCTGGGAGACACAGGAGACACCGCACTGTCCCTCCAAGGGATGCTGGAATCATTTTCCACTGTGTTTCTTTTCACTCCTATGAATAGAATGTCCTCAGGCCTTCCAGCAGAAGCTGGTCACCTGGTGTGTTGACCAGCCTCTGGGCCATTCTTCCCTGATCTGCCACAGCTGGGGGCACTTGCTCTTCACTGTGGGGGCCACGAGGTAGCATGTCTGCCCTTCTCCCTCATGGGTGCTAGCAGGCACCCCCTGGCTTTGAGAGTCTGTGAGTGACGTCCCTTCTCCTGGACTTCCCTAGGGGAGTGGATGGGGATTGACCTCAGCTGTTGGTCTGGTGGTCAGGAGAGGGGAGGCTGGGCCAGTTCCTGGGGGCCCAAGGACGGTGTCGTCACTCAGGTTTCACAGGGTGGAACGGGCCACTCTGGGCCTGAAGATTCAAGGAAGTCCATATTTTCAGGCACTTGGGTCAGCCCCCACACCCACATCCTGCGGTCCTCTCCCGGCCTGACCCTGCCCTAGGTGTAGTGGAAGGCAGGGTGAGAAGGCAGCCTCTGGTCCTCTGGCCTCTTCCACCTTCTCTGTCCTGCAGCTGCAGGAAGTGAGGGCTCCCTCGTGGTGTCCACGCGTGGCCCTAGAGGGTGGGATTCGGCTGCCCCAGCCAACTCCCAAAACTTCAAGATGTTGCCCACAGCGTGTCTTCTCCTGTGGGGGCCCTCTCACCAGATACGGCTGCCTCCGTGCCCCCCACCTCGGGCAGGCCTGTGGCCCTGGTGGCCAGATGCTGCTGCTCCTAAACCCATTTCCAAGGACCACTCCTGGGTTTCAGGGAGGAGCCTCTGGACAGAGGCTGTGGAGTCCCTCCTGGGGAGGGGCTGCAGGAGCCCCTGGTGGGGGAGGCGGAGGTCTCACCTGCCTGCAGGGAGCTCTGTGTCCTCTGGCCCCCCAAGGCTGTCCCAAATTGGGGAGAGACTGGGTCTTTGCATCCTCCATGGGCCTGCTCCGGGGTCCCTGGGGAGAAGGTCCGTGGGAGTATTGCTCCGGATCTCTGTTCCATGGTGACGATAAAGTGCAGGTTGGGCTGTAGTTGGCTTCAATACCTAAAGATTCTAGACATGGACATTGCCCATCACCAAGGTGGACAGCACCCAATGCCCCTGCCTTGGTGTGCCCTGTTCATGGTCCTTGGACAGTGCTGCCCCCGGGCCTTGGGGAAGGCAGCATTCTTGGGTCAACCTCGATTCCCTGGGTGGGACTCAGCCGGGGGCCAGGGCAACTGGGTCCTGAAGGGTGTGTGGCGAAGGGCTGGGGGGGCAGAGAAGGAGCTGGGTCCGCTTCTCCTTTCCCAGGTGTGGAATCAGAACGGCAAGAGCCCCTCCATCACCTTCGAGTACACGCTGCTGCAGCCGCACGCGCACAGCCTGCAGCGGCCCCTCTACTTCACCTTCCCCGAGCCCGCCTCGGCCAGCGCAGAGAGCCAGGAGCTGGGCGCCGGGCTGCTGGGCTTCATGCGACACAACGGCTCACTCTACGGCCAGGCCTCCTCGGAGCGGCTGGGCCTGGACAACCGGCTGTTCAGTGCCACGGGCCCAGAGATGGAGCTGGGCCTGCGCCGGGGCCAGGAGACCAACGAGGTGTGCGAGCCGGCCAGCGGCGGGGCCTGCGAGGGGCCCCCGAGGGGCAAGGGCTTCCAAGGTAACAAGGGAGAATGTGGGTCGGGGTCCCTGGGGACAGTCTCTGGGTCAGGGCCCTCCACCCCTGTGAGGCCTGCTGAGGAGAGCCAGGGTGCTCACATACCCTCTCTGGGCCGGCCCAGTGCCGAAGACTCTCCCCGTCCTGCTCCCGCACGTTCTTCGAGTAGCCAGTCTTTCCTTGGGAGGAACGACTCGGCAGGCTCTCAGATTCCCAGATGCTTTAGTCCTTCACACAGAATCGCGTGGCCTTTGCACAGGGCCTCCGCGTGCACTGGGAGTGCTGTGGGTGCTCTGGACGAGACGGTGCAGGCACCATGTTAGCAGGGGCCACTCTGTGCCAAGAAAGCGTTCATCCCTCTTCAGTGCAGAAGCCGTGTCCTCCCAAGGAGTTTTGATCCATGGTTTATTGAATCTAAGGACGTGGGACCACAGATGCTGGCTGTAGGCCCATGGTCATGAGGGGTCTGACAGAGGAGGACACTGAGGCTCAGTGAGAGGAAGTGCCCTGGCCCAGTCCAGCACCCACCCACCCTGCAGGAGTTGGGAGTCAGGCTCGGCCAGCCTGCCCCGCGGCTCACGAGGCGAGCTCTGGGCTCCTCTGTGCACATCCCACGGGCTGCAGCCGTGGCTGGCGGGCACTTCTCACCTGGGGCTGCAGCCTTCTCTCCCCTCTGCCTGGGTTTTTACTCGGCCATCTCCTTGGGATCTCTGTGTGGCGAGGGCCCACCCCAAATGACTTCAGAGGGGACCCTTACACCAACAAGGACACTCTTTCCAAGCCAAATCACATGCTGAGGGTCCAGATGGGCTGGACCGTGAGAGACCCTCTCCAACCCACTGTGGAGGCCTCTCTGTAGAGATGACCTTGGCCTTCTGGGCATGTCCTAGCCCCCTTGGCCCAGGGAGGGGCTCTCTGACATAAATCATCTTATGTGTAGGATTTATAAGGATGGCCTGGCAGTCAAGATTAAAGTCATAGACCGCCTGTCTGTCTCTCTTCAGACCATAACGCCACAGGGACAGCTCTCTTGGGCGACAACGATGACCCAGAGGTGGACACCCATTTTACTCCCCGGGAGTTCCTCTCTGCCAATGCCATCTCCGACCAGCTCCTGGGCACAGGCTCTGACTCTAAGGAGTTTGCCCTCAATGAGACCATGAACAGCATCTTTGCCCAGGGCGGCCCCCGGAGCCCTGCTGCTGACAGCCTCTATGTGGACTATGAGGAGAACGAGGGGGCTGCTCCCTTCCTGGTCAATGGGTCCTACTTGGAGCTGAGCAGTGACAGGCTCTCCAACACCTCCTCGGAGGCCCCGTTCCCCAACGCCAGTGCCAGCCTCCCCGCCATGGCCGGGAACAGGACCCACAAGGCTAGGTAGGAGGCATGTCCCCTGCCCTGTCCAGGGCCCTCTGGGGTGGAGTCACCACAGGGGGGCTGACCCAAGGGCTGGTGACGTGGAGAGTAAGTGGGAGAGAGCACCCCTTCCCAAGGTCCTGGAAGGCCACCCTGTGGATCTCAGCATGAGCTCAGAGGCCTGGGCTGTGTGTCCTCCCCTAAAGTTAGGGCCCTGGGTCAGGTGTCCCTGGCAATGGCTGCCCAGGTGTTCCCAGCCTTGACTCCAATCCGTGCCACTGACACTGGGGGAAGGAGGCTGGCAGTCCAGAGCCTGCCCCTGAGCCAGCAAAGGGGACCAGTGTCCATACACAGGGGAATATGCAGTGGCCACCCCACCCTTAGCCTGAGGAGCCTGGGGCTCGGAGAGGGAAGTGACACCTTCACTCTGGGCGCCTGGGGTCTGGACAGTCACCGAACACAGGCTGTCAGACACAAGCAGGGTTCCAGGCCGCCCCGAACACGGAGCCTCCGCTCAACCTCCACTGCAGCCAGAGAGAAGGTGGGGGGCCCAGGGGCTCCTCAACCAAGGGGCAGACCTGGAATCAGGGATTAGAATGGGCTGGAGCTGCAGCTGCCATGGACCTGGCCCAGAGTCCAGCCATGGCTGGGGACACCTGGGAAGTCAGGGCTGGGGATGCCTGGGCAGCCACAGGTGGGGACAAGTGGGCAGCCATGGCTGGGGATGCTTGAGCAGTCAGGGCTGGGGACTCCTGAGCAGTCAGGGCTGGGGACTCCTGGACAGTCAGGGCTGGGGACTCCTGGGCATCAGGGCTGGGGACTCCTGAGCAGTCAGGGCTGGGGACTCCTGAGCAGTCAGGGCTGGGGACTCCTGAGCAGTCAGGGCTGGGGACTCCTGGGCATCAGGGCTGGGGACACCTGGGAAGTCAGGGCTGGGGATGCCTGGGCAGCCACAGGTGGGGACAAGTGGGCAGCCATGGCTGGGGATGCTTGAGCAGTCAGGGCTGGGGACTCCTGAGCAGTCAGGGATGGGGACTCCTGGACAGTCAGGGCTGGGGACTCCTGGGCATCAGGGCTGGGGACTCCTGAGCAGTCAGGGCTGGGGATGCTTGAGCAGTCAGGGCTGGGGACTCCTGAGCAGTCAGGGCTGGGGACTCCTGGACAGTCAGGGCTGGGGACTCCTGGGCATCAGGGCTGGGGACTCCTGAGCAGTCAGGGCTGGGGACTCCTGAGCAGTCAGGGCTGGGGACTCCTGGGCATCAGGGCTGGGGACTCCTGGACAGTCAGGGCTGGGAACTCCTGGGCATCAGGGCTGGGGACTCCTGAGAAGTCAGGGCTGGGGACTCCTGAGCAGTCAGGGCTGGGGACTCCTGAGCAGTCAGGGCTGGGGACTCCTGGACAGTCAGGGCTGGGGACTCCTGGACAGTCAGGGCTGGGGACTCCTGAGCAGTCAGGGCTGGGGACTCCTGAGCAGTCAGGGCTGGGGACTCCTGAGCAGTCAGGGCTGGGGACTCCTGGACAGTCAGGGCTGGGGACTCCTGAGCAGTCAGGGCTGGGGACTCCTGGGCATCAGGGCTGGGGACTCCTAGACAGTCAGGGCTGGGGACTCCTGGGCATCAGGGCTGGGGACTCCTGAGCAGTCAGGGCTGGGGACTCCTGAGCAGTCAGGGCTGGGGACTCCTGAGCAGTCAGGGCTGGGGACTCCTGGACAGTCAGGGCTGGGGACTCCTGGGCATCAGGGCTGGGGACTCCTGAGCAGTCAGGGCTGGGGACTCCTGAGCAGTCAGGGCTGGGGACTCCTGGACAGTCAGGGCTGGGGACTCCTGGGCATCAGGGCTGGGGACTCCTGAGAAGTCAGGGCTGGGGACTCCTGAGCAGTCAGGGCTGGGAACTCCTGAGCAGTCAGGGCTGGGGACTCCTGGACAGTCAGGGCTGGGGACTCCTGGACAGTCAGGGCTGGGGACTCCTGAGCAGTCAGGGCTGGGGACTCCTGAGCAGTCAGGGCTGGGGACTCCTGAGCAGTCAGGGCTGGGGACTCCTGGACAGTCAGGGCTGGGGACTCCTGAGCAGTCAGGGCTGGGGACTCCTGGGCATCAGGGCTGGGGACTCCTAGACAGTCAGGGCTGGGGACTCCTGGGCATCAGGGCTGGGGACTCCTGAGCAGTCAGGGCTGGGGACTCCTGAGCAGTCAGGGCTGGGGACTCCTGAGCAGTCAGGGCTGGGGACTCCTGGACAGTCAGGGCTGGGGACTCCTGGGCATCAGGGCTGGGGACTCCTGAGCAGTCAGGGCTGGGGACTCCTGAGCAGTCAGGGCTGGGGACTCCTGAGCAGTCAGGGCTGGGGACTCCTGGACAGTCAGGGCTGGGGACTCCTGGACAGTCAGGGCTGGGGACTCCTGGGCATCAGGGCTGGGCCTGGAGGGCCTTGAGAACGGAGCCTCTCTGTGTCAGAGTTGACGGGAGCAGGTAGCCCAGCTCTGCAGTCAGTGCTAAGGACAGACCCTGGTGACAAGCCTCTGGACCGAAGCGGCCACCCTCCAGGTGCAGGGCTTCCCAGAACCCCCGGTGGGCAGTGGGGCTGGTGTCAGCCTCCGGAGCCAGGCACAGCAGCCCGGGGCAGCAGGGACAGGATGTCGGCTGAACCGCTGGCTTCTTTTTGTCTTCTGGTGGCCCACCCAAACCCCAACTCCAGAGCCCCGCCCCCAGGTCCTGTGGTGCTGAGGTCAGGGTCCTTGAAACTGGGGAACAGGGTTTGTGGGAGATTTGGGGTCACTTTGGGTGATGGGGTTTGAGCTACTCCTCACCATCTGCAGGGTAGCAGAAGGAGCCTCCCAGGAGCCCTGGGCATGGCTGGTGGACTCTGGGGGGTTCCTTTTTTTGGTGTGGGGCCTTCTCTTGCCCCTCTTCCCACCCGGCCACACAGGGCTGCCTGCTCACCCTGACCCTGCACCCTCACAGTTCCCGTGACCCGGGCCTCTGCCCACTCAGCAGGACCTGGTGATCGATAGGGAGGGATAGATTTTGCCTTGGGGGTGCAGGATCTGAGTCCAACCAGAGTGGGAAGGCACCTGCCTGTGTGACCCGGCCAGTCTGTCCGCACTGCCAGCCCTGTCTCGGGCCAGGGCCCCCTCCCCTCCCAGAGCACGCAGTGATTACGGCGTATCTGCGGTGAAGCACAGCAAGGGCTCGGTTCAGAGAGGTTACTGGTAATGAATGGAGCCTCCAAGGTGGAGGGACCTCCAAGATGTGTGGCTCAGGACTGTGAAGGTGGCCAGCTGTCTGGTGCCCAAGCCCTCTGTGCAGGTTTATCAGGATGGCACAGAGACCCTCTCTTTAATTCGGCTTATGCCTCAGGAAATCCCAGGAAATGCAGGCACCGTGTGGCACAGACAGAGGGGCAGAGCAGGCCGCGGGAGCTGGACGCGTCCCTGCCCTGCCCTGGACCTCAGTTTCCCACTCTCTCTGAGGGGCTTGTCAGGGGTCCCTGCTGAGGCAGGCAGTTCTCTCAGGCCGCTCCCAGCCCAGCTTCTGAAGCCTTAACATCTCAGAGATCCTCTGCTGCTGCCTGTGAGTCTCACCAACCCCTCAGCCGCTCGGGAGGAGTGGATTCCCGGCGCCTGTTGATAAAATAGGTTGTCAGCACTCAGAAGGCCCAGTCAGTGAGATGTGACCGCTCCCCTGACTGGGCTGCCATCAAAGGATGCTACCGGTGGGGACCAAAGATGGTCTGGGGAGATAAAGGGCCAGGGAGGCCACGGGGGAAACTACCAGGCCAAAATAGCCCGTCTAGGCGGGTTGTGCAAACACAGGAAGTGGTGTCTGCTCCGGAGATCAAAGGGCAGCCCAGAAAGGAAGGGCTATTTTCATCTTCTCAGAAATGCCTCAGACAATCAAGGGGGGCCTGTCACCAGACTCGCCTGGGGAAGAAGCGTCTGTGCCACAGAGGCACACGCCTCCCTCTCTGAAGCGTTGGGGGAGAAAGGAAGAGAGAAACTTCTGGCTTATTTATAAACACACGCAGTCATTTCAGAGTTTCTGCTGCTGGGGTTGTAGGAGCCCGTGTCCTGCCAGGTGGGCTGGCAGGAGAGGGGCAGCACCCCCTTCGGGACGGAGGGAGGGAGGTGGGCGGCTCAGTGACTTCCGGGGTGCTTGCTTCTTGGTGCTGCTTCCCATAAGGGAACCTGTTAGGTGTCGCCCTGTTGTGCCAATATATGCAGGGTTGGTTCCAGAGCGGTATATGCTCTGGCCCACGCCTGCACGTGCTGGCGAGAGTGGTGTGTGGGCAGCCCTCCACGAGTACCTTTGAGACTTCCAATCCAGAGGGTTATTTTGAACCTGTGGCTGTCTCTTGAGTCAGGTGTGAGTCACACTGTGCGCTGACTGCAGCTCGTGTGATTGGACAGAGATGGCAGGCTCCCCCAGGAGGGGCTGGGGCAGGGACTGCATCTTCTCATCTCCTTTTGTTCTTGGGCAGACCTGAAAACTGTTGAAAGCAGGGTGGGGGACCCACCAGCGCAGCTCCAAGTGTCCTGAACCCAGCATCAGGGACCGGTTTACCCGGGTTCCCCTCTCCTGGGAGGATCGCCCTCTGCGAGCAGCTCTAGGCAGATCCCGCTGGTCCCTTGTTCTGAGGTTTTGGGGTCTTAGACACCCCCTCCCCTTTTAAAGTTTCCTCTGCTTTGTAAGAAGAGGGAGGGGAGAGGCTCCCTTCTTCCTGGAACCTGGGCAAAGCTGAACAGACCGGAGGCTGGAGCCCAGGGAGGCCCTGGCCTCACTGCCTGGCCTGCTCCTCCTGGGGCCCTCTTGGAGCCACATCATCTGGCTCGCCAGGGAGCTCACCCTGGTAGACCGGTTTCCTGGGTTCTCAGTGCCATGCCTGTCCAGGCGATGTTCACCCCACAGCTCCGCTGGAGCCGGGGTCCTCCTGGGGAGCATGAACCAGCCCAAGCAAAGCAGAAGAGCTCCTCACAGCCTCGGCTAGCAGGCTCCGTGCAGCCAAGCCTGTCTCGTCCCAGAATCAACCAGCAAGCCCTCAGAACGCGATGCCCATAACACTCGGCCTGACCACCAAGGTGACCATGGACCCGGAAAGAAGTGGCCCCAGTTTAAGCCTCGTGTAGGGTGTTAGCCAGATCCTCTTTAGCCAGCCCAGCTGGGCCTGAGGGAAGTGGATTGGGCCTGCAGCCGTGTCCACGAGGGGAGGTGGGGCCTGGGTGAGCTGCTGTCGGCTGGGCCCACCCTACCTCCCCTGGCCCTGGGGCTGCAGGACTCCTTGGGCTGCCCTCCAGCTTGGGTGGCATGTCTTCCAGCAGACGTCCCGGGCTGAGGGAGCCGCCTCGACCCCCCTCCCCTGCCGAGCCTGCAGAGTGGGGGCCGAGGCCGACGCCAGGCGCACCGACGCTTGGGGAAGCCAACTCCTAACAATAGTTGGCTTCGGCCCCTGAGTTCCGGCCAAGAACTGTAGCTGGTGGCTGGCGGGGACCCAGCGTGCCTCTTCCCGTTAACAGGTCTGTGCCGCCGTCCCAGACACCCCACCCCCAACACGGGATGCGCCACTCCCCCGGCACAGCGGACTTCGAATTTTGATAATTGGAGTATTTGATAATTGGAGGCTGAATGGCTGGTGCTCCCCTACACTCAGAATCCCAGCTGAGGGAGCAGTAAGGAGAGAATTCTGGAACGTTCTCAGGACCTAAGGCCCCCTGGGGTGGGAAGAGAGAATCCGCTGGCTGTCGTGAGCAAGTACAGTGAGGTGCTTGCGCAAGGCGCTGTTTCCGTCCCTCCAGCACTGCTGGAGGACTTCGGGGGTCCTTCAGCCTGCTCAGAAGAGGTACTCAGATGGACAGAGGCCAGCAGTGTCCACTCCTGAAGTATCCCCCCAGGGGCTTCACCCATTCTGTTCCAGGAAGTGGGGGCCTGGCCCTCACTGGTGGGGATCTCTCCTGGGCCCAGAGCAGGGACGTTGTGAGGGACAATGCACCTCCCAGGAAAAGAGGTGCAGGGCGTCCAGCGTCCTCATGTCCCTGCCTGCCCTCATTTCAGGACCAGGCCCAAGGCGCGCAAGCAAGGCGTGAGTCCGGCTGACATGTACCGCTGGAAGCTCTCCTCCCACGAGCCCTGCAGTGCCACCTGCACCACAGGTACTGGGAGCTGTCGGGCCTCGGGAGCTGGGTCCTGGGGTGTCCAGTAGAGCATCCTAGTTCCCATGGGCTGCTGGCCCTGGGCCCCCTCCCCACGGCTGCCAGTACTGTGTCCCTTCTCAGACAATCAGAGGCGGCCTCCGGGCCCAGGGTTTTGCTTTTGCTTATGGCAGATGGGGAAGGGCAAGACAGACCCTGCGGTCTACTACTGAGGGGCGGGTCAGAGTCCAGGACCTCTCAGCGGGGAGGGGCCAGGGCAGAGAGACCCTCCCCCTGGGGTCACCTGGTCGGACACTCCAATTAGAAAGTGTTGAGGGGGATCTGAAGCCACGCCTGTCAGGAGGTGTAGCAGCCACCTCCACACTGAGACGCTGGCCAGAGCTGCCCCTGTGGCCTGCTCCTTCCCTACCCGGGGGGATGCTACGGGTTACAGTGGGACACAGGGCACTGGAGGGAGGGGGAATGTGGTAGAGAGCAAGGGCCATCTGGGGACGACTGTATCTAGGCTTGTGATGTCAAGTCTTGATTTAGAGAACACTCTGTGGCCCCACAGGTGCGTGATGCTCCTGGTTTACCCAGCACCCCCAGCTGGCCAAGGCGTTGGGTGCCCACACTCCCTGGCCAGAGAGGACACCAGGCAGTCTGAGTCTGGCTGTGTCCCTGCTGCCCTGGTAGCATTTCAGGAGACAGCCCTCGAGTAGGAAGTTGTAGTGGACCACACCCTCGGTTCTGCCCACGCTGACCCTGCCTCTCTTGTGCCCCTCCCGCACGCGGGGGCCCCCTGCACCTGGCATTCTGGTGGAGCGTGGCACAGCATTTGAACCCGTTGTTGGCTGACCACATTGCTTCCTCTTCTGTGGCTGGAAATGAGATGTGTGCTTTATTTCACAAGTGGCTGTGGGGACCACTGGGAAATACGGAGCAACCCATCGTGGGCACAGCCAATCCACAGGAGCCCTTGCTGATTGTGGCCATCACTGCCATCTGTCTGACCTGAGGCTGTGGCATCGAGTGAGCCCCACAGCAGTGGGTCCCTTGGTCTCAGCAGTGAGTCACAGGACTGCCCTCCTCAGGGTGACCTGAGGGAGCTGGGCCAGAGGGGGTGTTGCCGCAGCACCCAGAAGCTGGGTGTTCTAGGCTCCTCCTCCTGGCCCCCTGCCTCAGGACTCCAGGGGTGCTGGGGCTCGGGAGATGGTTGGGAAGCATCTGGACACATCACTGTCTGGAGATGTGACATTGTGACATGTCATTAGGACAAGATGGTCTATGTAGCAAGAGTCCTGCTGGACAGTCCTGGATGGACAATGTCCCCAGGGAGAACATGACACCACCATCCCTCAACACCCAAAGAGTGACCAGGGAGGGGGATTGGGCCTGTTCTGGGTAGCTCAAGACGCAAAGCAGGACCCAGGAGACTGTCAGGGCAGGTCTGGCTCTGGGGGAAGGATGAACTCTGTGTATACCTGTGCATCTGAGGCTATCCAGCAGTGGACAGAGACAGCCAGTTCCCTGTCACTGCGGGAGGCTCCTAACTGGGCCAATGGCACTGGGCAGACTCGACAGAGCTGGGGTGCCCTCTGTGAGTGGCTCCCTGCCTGGGTCTCCCACCCCCTGCATGCTGCAGGCCCTCCACCCTCCTGTGCTTGCCTCTGATGCTCACAGCTGAGTGTGCTGGAAACCCAGGCCGGGGTGTCAAGGGGTGGGTCAGCCACGCATGGCATAGAGGTCGGCAAGTGTCCCGTGACAGGTCATCGTGCAGAGCAGGCTCCCACCCCAGGCCAAGGTGTGCTGGGGATGGTGGCCCATCCTGTCTGCTCCCGCGCTGGGCTGCTGGCCCACGTTGAGTCTAAGGGCCAGCCTGTGGCAGAGCCTGGAGGAACTTTGCTCCTGGGACTGGTGTCACGAAGAGGTGTCCAGAAAATTCCCCAGGGATGAAGGGGAGGAAGTGGAAGGGGCGCGGGGGCTGGGCTCCTCTGCCTGGGGACTGGCTTCCAGGAGGGCTGCCTCTCTCACCCAGCAGACTCCGCCCCACTCCAGCGTCTCCCTGACTCTCCCTGGCTCCTTGGCAGGGGCTACCCCGTTGAGGGAGCTTGGGCCTTGTGCCACTGTGGGCAGGAAGACGAGAAGGCAGTGGAGGGGGTCTGGGACACCATTAGGTGAAGGTGGCCCTTTCCCTACATCCCCATGGTGGGACCCAGAAAGATCTACATGAAGAATGATGATTAAAGTCAGCTCGAGAGCACCTTTGCTAAGGACTGGGCGTCTGCTCTCGCCCCGAGGCGCTGGAGAGGACCTGAAGGTCAGGTTCCACGCTGTGGTCTGTCCGCGGGGTTAAAGCAGGAAGGCCAGCTGTGAGGCCAGCTGTGTGGCTGTGAGGGTGATCTGAGTTTGCTCAGAGGCAGGGTTCTCCACAGGTGAGCCGGCACCTGGCTAGATGGGGTGGGGCTGTGGAGGGACGAGAAGAGGGGGCCCTGGCCCTGGGCAGGGAGGGACACCTGGCCCCCAGCCTGCCCTGGAACTCTCAATGGTGCCGTGAGCCGGGAACTCTCCTGGTCCCCAACCCAGGGGGCTCCCAGGCCCTCTGCCCACCACCTGCGCTCAGGCCCTTTCCCTGCCCGACAGGGGTCATGTCGACTTACGCCATGTGCGTCCGCTACGACGGGGTGGAGGTAGATGACAGCTACTGTGACGCCCTGACCCGACCCGAGCCTGTCCACGAGTTCTGCGCGGGGAGGGAGTGCCAGCCCAGGTGCCTGCGCGGGGCCCAGCGCACGTGTGCGCCACGCACTGCAGCCCTACCTGCCTCTGCCCGGAGCAGCAGCGGGACCCTGTGGGGTGGAGGGCAGTGGGCTGGGGCCCCAGGGCCCTGCAGGAGGGGCAGAGCGAGGGCTGCTCTCTGCCAAAGGCTGAGGATGCTCCTCTGTGCTGCTGTTGCCTGGTGTCTTTGCCCCCAGGCCTACTGGGAACAGCTAGGAGTCTATAAGCCAAAAAGATTATTCCCAAAATAACAACTGGCTGTCTCCGAGATGCGGGCAGAGGCTGTCTTTCCAGCCCCAGGCCTCCTGTCCTGCCTTGTCGATACAGAGACGGAGCCCTAAGCACACCCTCCCCTGGTGACAACCAGTGTGAGAGCCAAGGTGCCGAGCGGTCACCCCTGGGAGGCCACACTCTTCTGGCCTGCTCTGTCCTGGGCATTTGCTCCTTCCTGGGAAGGGTGAAGACCCCGACTGTCACAGAGTGGGCCTGTCCCCTCAGCCCCACAGGCTTTGAACCTCTTATTCTAATCTTCCCGAGGACCCCAGCTCAGGTGGGAGGAGAGGAGGGGTCTGCTCCGCACACTGGCTGGGCCTCCTTCTGCTCATTTCCACCTTTGCTTGTGGAGAACCAGAGTACCCAGGGGCCACCTATGCCACCCAGCAGCGTGGGGTCTTAGGGCTCCAGGTCCCAAGAGGGGTACAGCAGGCGGGGAGGGTGTTGGGAGCAGAGTGGGCAAGGGAACCAGGCTGCAGGCCTGCAGGTGAGGGTAGAGGAGGTGGCTGGGCCCTGCAGGTGGATCCTGCAGCACCCCACAGGCCTCCTGAGGACCCCTTTGCCAGGGCCACAGCCACCACTGCTTCACCCCTTCCTGTCTGGCTGGGCTGTGACTGGCCTCAGCCTCCCCGGGGTGGAGCGGGAGGGGAGGGTGGGGCTGCAGGGCAGGGCTGAGGCTGGCCCCTGCCCCCTCCCTCCGAGCCAGGTGGGAGACCAGCAGCTGGAGCGAGTGCTCGCGCACCTGTGGTGAGGGCTACCAGTTCCGCATCGTGCGCTGCTGGAAGATGCTGTCCCCTGGCTTCGACAGCTCCGTGTACAGCGACCTGTGTGAGGCCGCAGAGGCCGTGCGGCCTGAGGAGCGCAAGACGTGCCGCAACCCGGCCTGCGGGCCGCAGTGGGAGATGTCCGAGTGGTCCGAGGTGAGCGAGAGCCGAGGAACCGCGTGGCCGGGCGAGGCGGCCCGTGTCCCCGCCACCCCTCACCCTGGCTTCCCCGCAGTGCCCGGCCAAGTGTGGGGAGCGCAGTGTGGTGACCAGGGACATCCGCTGCTCCGAGGACGAGAAGCTGTGTGACCCCAGCACTCGGCCTGTGGGGGAGAAGAACTGCACGGGGCCCCCCTGCGACCGCCAGTGGACTGTCTCGGACTGGGGACCGGTGAGGGAAGGGCCGGGGCAGAGAGCAGTCGGAGGGCACTACCCGGCCACGCCCGAGTTTCCCATTTTCCTGGAGTGAAGATGTCCGTCACAAGGGACCAAAACGCGTGCCACGAGCATGCTCCCTGCTCCCTGTGCCCGTGTCCACCTCCGTCCCTCTCCCTGTCTCCGCCTCCTTCTCCCTTTTCTCTGTTTCTGCCTCCCTCTGCCTCTCCCCGTCTGTGTGTTTCTCTCTGTCTCTGTCTCTCAGCCTGTCTCTGTCTCTCAGCCTGTCTCTGTCTCTCAGCCTGTCTGTGCTCACATGTCCGTTTTCTCTCCCTCAGTCTCTGTGCCCATTTCTCTCCCTCTCTCTGTGTCTCCTCTTCTCTCTCCCTCTCTCTGTGTCTCCTCTCTCTCTCTCTCTCTCTCTCTCTCTCTCTCTCTGTCTCCCTCCGTCTTCTCTCTGTCTGGAACAGAGCTGCTCACATGATGGCCAGGGTCACTTCTGGTGGGAGGGGCACACGTGACCTTTTGAGCTGTGCTTTTCTCTGTGTGTTTTGCCTTGAACATGTTATTTCTGTAATTAGAACAGAAAATGTTATTTAAAAACTGGTTACCAGGGCAACTGCTTCCCCATGCTGCCCTGGGAGCTGTTCTTCTCCCTTGGACGCGTGGGTGGGGGGGCTTGTGGAGTACCCCTCTAACTCTGTCCCTGCTGTCCCCTCCCGCAGTGTAGTGGAAGCTGTGGGCAGGGCCGCACAATCAGGCACGTGTACTGTAAGACCAGTGACGGACGGGTGGTCCCCGAATCTCAGTGCCAGATGGAGACCAAGCCCCTGGCCATCCACCCCTGTGGGGACAAGAACTGCCCGGCACACTGGCTGGCCCAGGACTGGGAGCGGGTGAGTGCCCCGGAGCCTGGGCGGCTCCTCGGGAGAGTGTGGGGCCAGAGAGAATTTGCCCAACGGTGGGAAGGATAGATTGGTCCAAATGAGGAATTAATTGCAAATTGTGAAGGTGTGACTCACTAAAGTTAATTATAAACACAATAAGCCAAACAGGCAGGAAAACCCTTAGTGTTCTCCTGAATGCACTGGGCACATGCTCGGTGGTGTCTGCTCGGCCCACGTTCCTGGTGGGCAGGGGCGCGTGCTGCGGGCCCTCTGGTTTGACGTCCATCCTCACTGGCAGCCGTCACCCTCACCCTCTCAGACCAGTCACCCTGCATTGCTCTCAACCACTTGCTTCGGCTGCTTACGATTAACCAGATAATCTTGGGCCAAGTTGTTTTCTGCTAAATTGATTTTGGCCACATCCTCCTTGGTCAAATTGCCATTAGCCAATTTGTTTCAAAACAGATGGTTTGGGGCGAAATTGCTTTTGATCAAATCTGTTTGGGGCCAAATGGTTATTGAGCAGCGTTCTGGCCAATTTGCCTATTGATTCAGATATTCTCAGCCAAAGGCTCTTGACCAGACTTCTATCCCCGGAAGTTGCTGGGTGGATTGTCCTGGTGCTACTGGCCCCTGGCCGCTGACCTGTCCCTCTGGCCCTCAGTGCAACACCACCTGTGGGCGTGGTGTGAAGAGGCGGCTGGTCCTCTGCATGGAGCTGGCCAATGGGAAGCCGCAGACGCGTAGCGGCCCCGAGTGCGGGCTGGCCAGGAAGCCCCCCGAGGAGAGCACCTGCTTTGAGAGGCCTTGCTTCAAGTGGTACACCAGCCCCTGGTCAGAGGTGAGCGCCTACGGTCGCCTCCTGCCGCAGAGGTCCCTAAGGGTTCTGTCCTTGGTTAGCCTCTCAGTGTACTAGATCAGTGGGTGGAGGGCTGCCCCCTCCAGGAAGCCTGCCCTGATCTTGCCCCTGCTGGCCCTGCAGCGCTTGTCCAGGGCCTCAGGGGCCTGGTTGTTTTCCAGACTCACACTGTGGCCTTTAAGTGGTGACTGCGTCAGCATGTGGGCCTGACTCCCTCGTGAGGCAGACAGACCCCAGGGTGAGACGCAGCGAGGCAGGTTTGTGGGACTTGGGGGTACAGCTAGATGGCAGACACTATGCCCACAGGGCAGGGCAGTGTCTCTCCTGGCCCCAGTGTCAGGCCTGGCCCTTGCATGATTCTGTGGACTCCTTGGTCCCCAGAACTCCTAGCCAGAGGGTGCTGGGCTGGCAGTGCCCTCACCACGGGGTCCCCAGGGCAGCCTGAGGTCTCCTCCCTCCCAGATCCCCCTGAGGAGGGCTCTTTTCCATTTCTCAGAGGAAGAATTAGGAGTTCGGTGAGCTGTCCAGCTTCCTGAGGGTCCCACAGTTATTGGGGGGCCCTATGGAACATGGGAGCCCTGGGCCCAACCCAGGGGGTGTGGAGAATTTGCAAAGGGAAGGAGTCCCCAAGCCAGCCCATCCCGTCTCCCAGAAGAGGAACCCCCTCGGGTCAAGCACCCTGGTTTAGCTGGGGCAGCCGCTGTCCCTGGTGGGTGAGGCAGGGCAAGTGCACCTCCGCTGTCCCGCATCCTCCTGGGAGGCTGCTGGCAGTGTCCAGAGCCCAGGCCTTGCCAGCGCTCCGAGTCTTTCTTACACCACAGCCAGCCTTGTCCCGACATCTGCTCTCATTAGCTCACACAGAAGTCTGCAGGCGCTGTGTCCCTAGCGCCTGCAGTGAGGCCACAGGCTCCCAGAGGGCACACAGGGAGGCCCAGAGCCAGCTTTGAGAATCACTGGGCGGGGTTAGTTTCCACTCTGGCCAACTCTGAGAGCTTAGGGACAGTAAAGAGGTATCTGAGGGGACTTGGAGCTCAGGACCTTTCCTGAGAGTTTCATAGTATGTCCCAGACACCAACACGGAGGCCGCCCTGGCCTGGGCCCCTGGGACCAGTGGGTGGCAGGGGTCTGGAGGTGGGTTCCCATGAGTGCAGCCACTCTTCGGAGCACAGGGCTGGGACCCCCAACCCCACGCAGGCAGGAGGACCTCACACAGACCCTGCCTTGCACGAGTCCTCTGCTTCCCGCACCACATGCTCCTATTGCCCATGAAAGACCCCCAGCAAGAGGGGAGAGACTGAGGCAGGGCTGGGGCTTCCGGGAGGAGGCAGAGGGCTGAGGAGATGTAGGGTCCCAGCCAGGCAAGGGGGGAGGAGGAGGGGAGGGGCAGGGGAGGCCTTTTGGGGCTGGGGTCCCAGGGAGCCATGCAGACAGATGAATTCTGGGAGGACCGTGGGCCTCTAGGGACAGGTGCCTAGCAGGCGTTGCTGGCAGGTGGGCTAGGAGGGAGCAGGGCCCCGGGAGCAGTGTGGAGGAGGAGGGCCTCCCTGTTCCCAAGGCTGGGGCGGGGCGAGGGGGCTGGTGCAGATGGCCGTGGGCGTGTGGCCTGTCGTGTCCCGGCTGCTGCCTGCCCACCATGCCAGGCACCGCTTTAGGGTTTGTTCCTCAGCTGCCCCATCCCACCCTCTCCCCAGGGACAGGGGGCCGGCGCCGGCAGCCCGCCCATCTCCCGGGGCACGTCCACAGGCTTCCCTGGGTGCCCGCCAAAGGCAGATTGTCCTCTGGCCGTGATGCCAAGCCAGCCGTCTCTCACCTCCAGCTGAGCCCCTCCCCAGGCTGGGTGGGCAGCCGGCGGGCAGCCTCCTGCCAAGTCCTCCCTGTTCTCTCTGTGCCTTTGGAAAGAAAATTGGAGGGAGGGCAGGGCAGAGGTGCCCACCCACTGCAGGGAGCCCAGGCCCAGGTCCCAGGCTTGCCTGGGTGGTGTAGGGTCACCCACATCAGGAAGCCTCCGCCTGTAGGAGCATGGCAGGAGGATGGCAGGGTCATCGGGGTCAGCAGATGACCCTGGTGTTCTGGGTAGCTTAGCGTACCCAGGGGACATCTGGACAGGGATCAGCGTGGGGGCAGTAGCTTCAAGATGCATTGGATTGGCCATAGTAAGTTGTCTGTGTTAGAGGCCCAGGACAGCAGGCGTCCGCCGAAGGGGGAAGGGCCGACTCAGGGCCACCCACACGGTGCCTGGGGAAATGGCGGAGCTGGGGTGAGAATCGGGGTCTCCTCACCTCCCACTCATCCCGGCCGCAGGGTCTAGGCTCCGGGGAGCTCCCTGTGCCCCGTGTGGGCAGCGGGTGGGGTCGGAGAGGCTCTGCCACGCCATTGGTCTCTCCCATGTCAGTGCACCAAGACCTGCGGGGTGGGCGTGAGGATGCGGGACGTGAAGTGCTACCAGGGGACCGACATCGTCCGCGGATGTGACCCTCTGGTGAAGCCCGTGGGCAGGCAAGCCTGTGACCTTCAGCCCTGCCCCACAGAGCCCCCAGGTGAGAGGGGCACCCGAGGGCAGGGCTTCCCAGGGGGCTGTGGCCAGAGCCAGGGCCTGTGGGACAAGCAGGTGGGAGGGCACCCGGAGCCCCTGGACCAGGATTTTCTGGTGCTGCCCTGGCTGCAGGGAGGAGGGGCCAGGCAGGACCTCTGGTTGGGTCCTGGCAGGTGGACAAGGGCTCTGGGATGGCAGCGAGCGGCAGAGGCAGGTGGCGATTCTGCTTTAGCATCTCAAGTGGGGAGGGGGCAACTGTGGGCTCCAGGGGATGTTCAGGATGTCCAGGGGACAGTGTCTTCCTCAAATCCTGGCCCTTGAGGTGTCACCTCTCCCAGTGACAGATCAAGCCCCTCGGGGCTCCGGGACTGGCTGGGAGGGTGTGGGGTGGGAAAGAGGTGGCAGAGACCTGCAGGGGACATCCACCATGGCTGAGACCACAGGTTCCTATTGCCCAGAGGGCAAAGCCCTTGCCCTTGAGAAAAGACTGTGGGGGGGGCCTGCATTTTTGCCTCTTGGCCTCCTCCCAACACCCTACCCCGTCACCCTGCCCCATCACATCCCCAGATGACAGCTGCCAGGACCAGCCGGGCACCAACTGCGCTCTGGCCATCAGGGTGAACCTCTGCGGCCACTGGTACTACAGCAAGGCCTGCTGCCGCTCCTGCCGGACTCCCACTCCCAGGCCTGGCCCTGCAGCCCCTTGAGACTCGGGTGCCCGCCCTGAGCTTATTTGGCTCTGGGGCCCCTCCCTGGACACTCGTCCTGTAGGCCCCCGGGTGTGAAGGCCTGAGGCGGAGCCTCGGCTGATCCTCAGCAGATTTCCATGGCCTGTGGATCGATGCTCTGCCCAGCCCTGGGACAGCCTCCAGCACCCAGCAACCCCTCCCCAGAGTTGCCCCAGCTGTGGGGGCTGTACCTGGAGCCAGAGGGTCCTGTGTTGGTGGCTGCCACCTCCACCCCCAGCAGCCCCAGAAACATGGGGCCCAGAGTCCAAAGCCCAGCATGGAGGTGAGACCTGCCCTTGGCCCAGGTTCTGCTCTGTAGAGGTGCAGCCATTCCAAGGTGACTTGCCAGGGCAGCCAGGGGACACAGACCATCAGTCCCTGGAGGTACTGAGGCATGCTCCTTCCAGGGGACCCCATCCCACGACCTAGTGTCAGCTCCACCTGCCCTGCAGGAGCTGTGCTCAGAGGGGCATGCACTTTATGCCCCTGAAGAGGCCCTTTCTCATGGTGCACTGGGCACGGACAGCCGGGTGTCCTGTATCCTTGTCAGTACTCATCGGCGTATGTTAATAAAGTGACCGTATTTATGGTGGCATTTCGCGATCTCAGTTGCTTCTGGCAGGAAGGCTGGCGGGCACAGGGGCTGAGAGCCAGGGTGAGCCACGCGGGGGTTCTGGCGGCTGCAGAGGGTGTGCGGTCAGGCGGCTGCAGTAGTCAGGTGCAGCAAGCAGTCAGGAAGCACAAAGGGAACAGGGGGCCCAGGGAGGGACGTCGGGGCTCAGTGCTGGCTTCAGAACTGGCCAGAACTTCAAGCCTGCTGTCAACTGGCGTGTGTCCCCTCATGGAGCCTGAGCCCCAGCTCAGGATCAGGGCACCATGTTCTCAGTGCCCAGGTGGCCACGGGCAGTGTCTCCTGGGAGCCCAGGTAGCAGGGAGGCCCACAGTTGCTTGTCAGTCCCCTGCAATTTGGGGATGGACTGTCTCCAGCTGGAACCCAGAGCAGGGGCCACCTCAGTGCCTCATTTCACCAGAACAGTTTCTGAGGGACTTGGGGCTTTGAGGGAACCTAGGCAGCCATCAGCCCGGGCACTCTTGCCCCTGTGTGTGCCTGCACCCATGGGCATCGGAGGGCTACCATCCAGAGCAGCTGTTGGGCTCCGGCAGGAAAGTTCTAAGGTCCCCATTGCATCGATGCTAAAGCAGGCCCAGAGACGGTCAGCCTGTTGTCCCAGGTAACACAGCCCGTTACCCAGAAACTTTCTAGCAGCTCAGCACTACAGTGGTGGTTCCCAATCTCAGACGATCACCTCTAGGGAACTGAAAAACACAGCGACTTGTTGTGGCAAGTCCTCCCAGAAAGCCACTCCCAGTCCCAGGCCCCGGACCCCACCAGCCAGATCAGAGAGGTGACTGTCTGACACCGGGCAGCTCCAGGAGGGGGCTGCACGGCAGGAGCCCAAGCGCACTGAAGACATGGAGCAGCGGCTGCGAGACAAGGTTTATTGGCTTCGCTTTCCCAGGGAGCCCAGGGCTCCGCCAGCAGGCCCTGTCACGGCGGCATGGAGGGGGCTGGGAGGGGTGGTGCTTGTTTCAAGGAGATCTATGAACTACACCAGAGGGAAGAGGCCAGGAAGAAGGGAGGGACGTGGAAGGGCTGGGGAGTGCCCCTCGCCCCACCTCAGCGGATGCCCGGCGACTCCACAGGATGCAGGACAGGGTGGGATGGGATGCAGGCTCTGGGGGTGTGGGGAGCAGACTGCACAGGGCCCGGGGTGAACCCCACCACAGCCGAGGCGGGAGGAAGGAGGAAGAGGAGGGAGACTCGGTGCCCAGGCCGAGGCTCTCCACCGACTGCCCGGTCTCTGGAAACTCACGGGCGCTGGAGTAAGAGGGCAAGGTCCTGCTCGGGCCTGGCTCGGGGCGGCCCGGCCCTTGAAGGCTTATCTTTTGGGAGGTGCCTGTGCTGAGCGCCCACCCACCCGTGGCTCCATGGTAGGACCTGGGGAGGGGGAGGCTCCCAGAGGGAAGGGGCTCTTGGGTCCTGCTGCCCAGAAAGAGAAAGTTGCCTCCTCCTGGCAGGACAGCTGTGCTTGGGTGGCAGTGGCGTGGGTGTGGGGCAGTGCCCCTGGCGGCCACTGGGCACCATCTCCTCCAGTGATAGAGAGGGCTAGAGAGGGGGCAGAAGTCCTGGGGAGACCTGGTTGGAGTTGGAGGGACATGTGCTCCCACTCAGGAGCAGCGAGCTCTGGCTGGCTGGACCCACGGGGCACCAGCAGGGACTGGGCTTGGGGGGAAGAAGGTGGAAGGGGGTGGCCCAGTCTCCCTGGACCTGGTGGCTCCTGCTGAGAATCAGAGCTCAAAGGACTCTCTGAGGCCAGCCTTCCTCAGGCAGATGGGGAGGCTGAGGCCCATGGATGGGAAGGCCACCCAGGACTCCTGGTGAGTCGGGGGACCTTTGAACCCTGGGCCACGGCTCTGCCCACCTCCCTACCCCCCAGGGGTCTGCTTGCTGGCCTGGCCTAGGCTGGGGACCAGCTGTGCAGTGTCCCCTCTTCACCAGAAACAGACCAGGGGCCAAGTACGCCAAGAACCTCGCTGTCCTAAACTCTCCCTTCTGTCCATCTGCCAGGCATTTAGGGCAACAGTGTATCAGCCCCAGCAGGTGCCTGTAGGGGGTGGGGGCCGAAGGAGAGGCAGAGAGGGGGGAAGAAGGGGACCCGAGTTCAGGGGGCGTGGAGTCCCTGTTGTCCCCGGGAGGCCTGTGCTGCGGGGCCCCTGGCATCACAGAGGCCACCCCTTCCTGGCACAGGCAGGAAGACCAGGGCCCCGGGAGGGCATGGCATGGCCCAGGCCACACAGCCAGGGAGCTGAGTTGGGGCTGGAACCATGATCACCGCCCCGCACCTCCTGGAGGTAGGAGCCTGGCCCTGTGCCCAAGAGCCAGGCCCTGCCCTGCTCTGCCATCCCCACCTGCCCTGGCATCGGGCCTCTACCTGAAGTGGCCACACTGGGGTTCACTGAGCCTCATCCCTGCAGAGGGCTTGGGGCTCCTCATGCCTGGGGACCCCTGAGGAAAGGGATGTGAGGAAGGCTGGGCTGAGCCCGGGCTTGGGCCTGGAGCCCTGGGGACATGCCATGGGTATTCTGTAGTGGCCTGGAGACCTTGTGTGGCAGTGCTGGGCGTGTGACAGCCGTCACACGTCCGTGCTGACGCTGCGGCTCCGGGAGAAGGCCTCGCGCATGGCCGACAGGCGGTTGGGGTTGAGCGCCTGCAGGCCCCCGAAGCCCCCCGCGGGCAGCTCCAGGTCCTCCTGGCTGATGCTCTTATAGGCCACGCGCCCCCCGCCGTTGCGCACAGCCTCGTCCTCGTCCTCCGGCTCTTGCAGGAAGAAGGTTGGCGGCTCGTATTGGGAGCAGCTGCGGCAGAGTGTGCGGGCCTGTGGGGACTTCTGGCGGAAGGAGGTGGAGGCGGCCGGGTACAGTGCGGGCCCGTTGGTCAGCACAAGGTTGCGGTTGGAGTGCAGGGGGGGCAGGTGCGAGTGCACGGCGAAGTCCGGCTCCTCCTCGTCCTCTTCGGACTCGTCCTTCTTACAGCAGTAGTACTGTGGGAGAGGGTGACCGTGCTGCACGCCACTGCACGTGTACCTACAGGTTGGCCCACGCCAGAGGGTCCCCAGGGTTCAGGGCAGCCTTGCCGAGAGCCGGCCCGCTCACAACCACCTGCCAGTCTTGCTGGGGCCAGCGCTGCGCTCAGCACCTTGCGGTGGCTCATTCCCTCGTCCAGAAATCCCCATCTTCACTTTGCCAATGGAGACCGAGGATGGGGGCTGCAGAGCTGGGGTCCAAGCCCCATCCAGCCCCAGTGTCCAGTTGTGGACACCGCCCTGGGCCACCTCACCCTGCCCAGAAGGCTCCCCACCTCAGGAGGACACAGGGCCTCCGGAGGCACCAAAACACGGGCAGGCCGGGGAGCATGCAGGGCGGCCCCTCTCGCCTCTGCCCTCCCCCTGGGCAGCTGTGTGCCCCCCGCTCAGTGCCTTGTCCTCTCTGAGCCTTGGAGAAAGCCCTGGGTGAGTGAGCAGGTGGCCATGGACCCTGAGCCTGGCAGGTGGAGTCCTTGCCAGTGCTGTCTGCTGGGCTCCTCCTCTGAGATCTGGCTGTCCCTTCTTGGAGCCTCTTGGGCCTCCCCTGCCTGGCCCTACCCTGCCCTGGGGGGTACCTGGAGCCGGCAGTAGCACAGAACTGCGATGATGCAGAGCAGAATCACAGTCGCCAAGATGCCCCCGGTGATGACCACAGTCCCGGCTGTCATCCGCCCTCTTCTCCATCAACAGCCTGTGAAAACACCAGCAGCCCCGTGGGGTCACCCAGACCTCTGTGCAGAAGACACCCTTCTATTTCAGAAAGGAAAGAAACTAGCCAAATGGGAGCAGGTACCCGCGGACATGCATATGACAGGTAAGGGCTCGGGTTGGAAACAGGGCAGGTGGGAGGAGACGAAGCCCCCTGAGGTCTCTGCCAGCCCCTTCCCACCCCAGCCTGCTTCTCATCTGCAAAAGGTGGGAGCTGCTAGCACAGTTCTGTCAAGATCTTGCACTCAGCAGTGAGCTGGGCTCCGGGTCCTGTGACCTGTTTCTTGCCTTCTCACCTAACTCGACCATTCTTCTTTTTCTGAATCATTAAATTTCGGGTGCAACATAATTTCTGATCATAATCCATTGTTTAACGTGACTGATGCTTTTTCATTTAAATATCAATAGTAACAGAATGCTTGGACATCGGACATAAAATCTACTATCTTCAATTTTTTGGGGGGTGCTGGGTATTGAATCCAGGGGTGCTCTACCACTGAGCTACACCCCAGCCCATTTATTTATTTAACTTTTGAGACAGGGTCTTGCTAAGTTGCCCAGGCTGACCTCCAACTTGTGATCCTCCTGCCTCAGCCTCCCCAGTCACTGGGATTACAGGTGTGTTCCACTGAGCCTGGCCACTGTTTTTAATTGTACAGTCTAGCACTGTCAAGAAGATTCACTCTTAAGATTTTTTTTTTATCTTACAAAACTGAAAGCCAATTCCTTTTTGATATCTAGGCTGTTTACACTGAGAAAAAATATTTTTAATGATGTTTAGGGTAGGGGGGCTCCTGGATCACAGAACCTACCTCAATGCTCTCTTCGGGACATATTGTCAGAGGTGGGAATTTGGGCTCAGGGACTTCCTGCCTGGAGCCCTGCCGTGGACATGGCCCAGCACATGAACGCAGGGGGCAGACTGACCCTGGAGCCCATGCCCCCTCCCATGAGCATCTGCTCACTTTTCAAGGTGTGGGCACGCAAGGTTCAGCAACCCCGTCACGAGTTCTGGTCGTCCCCACGCCCTCTCGCGAGCCAGTGGTGTGGCCGGAGTGGGCGACAGACCCCTTCCCCTATTCCCCAGTCTTTTTTCTTTTTTTGGCAGGGGCCGAGTGGCGGGAGTGACTGGAGTTTTGCAAGATCCCAGAGCGAGCCAGTTTACCCACCAACACTGGCGCCAAACTGACAGATGAGGACTTAGCAAAGCACCCAGCCTGCGTGCTCCAGGGGCTCCGAGATG